GTGCATTGTCTCGGTTAGTTTTTCATTTAGTTTTTTTCTCTTCTCCTCCACCCAACGTTGTTTTTCAACGAAACAAAACGCACGCGTCTATGCAGCGCGATCCACGTGTCGATTCGCAGTTTAGGCCGCGTTTAGGGGTCAGTTTTTGCTGTGGAAAGGTCGCGGCGATACCGAAGATTGAAAAAAAAAAAAAAAAGGAAAGGGAACGCGCGAAAGAAAAGTGGCGGAGGGTGAAGATTGGCTTGAATTAAAAGGAAGGGGAGGGAGGGAGAAAAAAGAGGAGAAGAGGAAAAAAATGTTGGGTGGGTACGATGAAAAATAAGAGCGGTTGCAAATCGACGTAACGCGCCGGCTAAATCCGTACAACCCTTCGAGATATGTATTTATATACTTGGGCTTGACGAGGCGTTCCGGCTAGTCGCGTTATCCGGTTAATCGCGAAGGGATCGTATTCTATTTTTCTTTTTTTTTTTTTTTGGTTTTTATAACATTATGATATTTTTATTTGGTCGAGACTTTTAGTTTGATTAATAAGGTAATTTTGGATACGTTAATTGATGAGATTTCGTTTGAAAATTTGTAAGATTATCTTAATAATTAGTGAACAAATATCGTATATATATATATATATATGTGTGTGTGTGTCTCGAAAGTGTCGTAAATTAAAATACTCGATCTTATAGAAATTTGAAAAGTTATCAAAGTCATAATTCGTAAAGTAAGAAGAAAAAAATCTAGAATCTATTTCTTTTTTAAGCAAATAAATAATTGTCATATTTTGTTTACAAATAAACAATTTTTGTCGAATACATATACTTTTTTTCTGTAACATTTTCGAAAATTGAATTAACAACAAATAATTTTATCGATAATCTTTTTTCCATCTGCTTGTGCTTTTTATCGAAAAAAAAAATGAATACATTATATAATAAGAGAAATAATAAGAAATATTTATATTTTCGTTATCATTCTCTTTCATATTTTTCAGTCAATTGATATACGTAATGTAAACAGTTTAACACTTTCATAAAATAGACAGTTCATTATATTTTCCATCACAATTTTCGCGCGAAACTTCAGGAACATATAGATAAAACGAAACTGATGGCGATGAACAGTCTATCGGCAATTTGTCATCGACTTTTCGAGCGTTTCAACGTGGCCGACCAGTCGACAGGGCGCAACAATAGCAATAATCGTACAGCTAGCGGGAAAGTTTCGAAAAATCACTCCTCCACGGGGATAAAAAAAAGTATAAATCAAACAAAAGGATAAGAGCACGGTGAAGTCTGCGGTGTAAATCGAAAACCGACGAGAGGGTAGCTGAAAATTGTCGATAGAGTTATAAAAGTGGGCTCCGTAGCCTCATGCCACCCCTTCGAACGCACCCCGTTGCCACATGAACAGACACACTGGGATAGCTGTCCTCGAACAATATCAATTATTTATGTCTGGCTTATAGTTATCATGCTACGGAATTCGTTTTTGACGTGAATTTGTGTTTATGCGAACGTATCGATGGACAGAATAATCTATTATGTAGATTTTATGACTTGAAAAAGCAAGTAATGTGGGGAAAAAAATTTTAAATAATTATTTTTATTCTGCTTAACAAGAAAATGAATTTCAAGAAATTATAATCTCTTTTTCAATACATTTCTTTATTTTTGGTTCTCGAGATAATTGTTCAGATTTAAGAAAAGTTACATATTAATAATCCGGAAAGGAAAATCCCCAAATTCTTGAAAGATGAGAATTGAAAAAAAAATTTTTATTCAAAGATTAAATATTGTGAAAATTTTCTCGAAAATGTTTCGTGAATTCACAACGCATTTATGATTCCTATAATGGATCTGCGATTTTGAAATATTGTGACTCGAATTTCCTCCACGAAAATATCTATCAGCAACTCGTTTTCATGAATTTGTTATAAAATTATTAATTAATATCGGCAGATATTGCAGAGCACATTTATTTTATCTTAAAAATATTGAATAATATTCAATATATTCTTTTGAGATATAATCTGTTCAAAAAATATCTACACTTCGAAAATAACTTTATGCATATTATTTTCTCGATCACAACTCTTTAAATTTTTCCCAACAATCTATTCTCTTCTTTTTCTGTTATTCTTCTTTTTTGACAAATTTCTTCACAGCGAAGAAAACTATTGTACGATCAACATAACTAGTATTAGTCGTTCGGATTACAAGCCTAGGATAGTCTTCTAATTTAAAAACGCGAAAATCGATTTTCACTTTTCATGTATTCATTTATTTTCCTTTCGAAGTCGATCTTTTGATACAATGACGTTTCACATTTCTGACATTCTATATATACGTATATATACTTTCTTCTTTTTACCAAGCTCTTTTTTTTTTTTTCCTCCGTTTTTTCGGTTACTCTGAAACATTTCGATCAACGACATCGTGGAAACAACGAGAGAAAAAAAATATGGTAGCGTGAAAGAGGCGAGAAGAAGAAGAAAAAAAATGAACACACATCGGTAACACGAGTAAAAAGTGGTGCTCGTTAAATTACAACAGTTACCGAACTCTGATTCCGAGTAAAGAGAAACCGACGAACGTAACAAAATTGTACATCGAAAGAACGACAAAGAGAAAAATGCGGAGAAAGAGGGTGGCTTTTATATATGCATACGAGAACATTCAGGTGTCAATCATGAATCGAGACCTTTCTTTCGACTTTGGGGTCCCAAAATCGAGTTTTTCCTGAAAAAATTTACGTATTCATTCACGTCACCACGAATGGAGGAAGATATGGTATAAAGGGAGAAAGTGAAAAAAAGAGAAAGGAGATGGGTAAAAAAGAAAGAATTCAAGCGAAAAGTCTGTTTGCTTTTTTATCGATCTTGACTTCATATTCGAGAGCATATTTTTTTCACCAACCGTCACGCATTGTTAACGTCAACTTATTTTCTCACTTTTTCTCTCCGTAGGTTGCAACGAAAAAAAATCATCTAATAAAATTCAATATATAATAGTATAATATGAATTTCATAATTTTATTAAAATATTATTCCAAATATATTTGCATATATTATTCATTTTAATAGAAAAATCAAAACGAAGAGATATTTCCTAATTATTTCATCCCGTTTTCGATATAAGACATTATCAGTCCGACGTATTTTCTCGAGTTGGAAAAGCTCGTGATACACGACCCATTCGCTTCGCGTTTTCACAGTTCCTGAATGCGGGATGAATATCGGCCTGCTTCGTCGGCCATTATACAGCTTTTACATTTATAAAGCTGTCACACACCGACTCACGCGTCATTGTGAAAGGGGTATTATGCTTTAATAATGGACAGCATCGCATGTCAGATTCATCCGGTAGGATGGAAATGGTGCGAAGTTTATTTTGTTTCAGGTCTCTAGCAAATCCAATGATGACGTGTCGCAAAATATTTTGCACGATCAAATCGTAACTTTATCTATACACCGACATTATCTATCGTATTTGAAAGTTATGCTTGCACTTTATTATCGATATGATATTATTCTTTATCTGATTATTCTTTATTTTTTTTTTTTTTTTTTGATAATTAAAAAATCATTCCATGAATTATATTTGATAAAATTAAATTATAAAATTATATTTTACTTTTATTATGAAAGCTTACTATATTTTTTGATACTTCATTCAATTTTTTCTTTTCATATTTATCTTTGATCATATTTTATTTTATAGCGAAATATTAACTATTTTATAATATACATCAAAATTGAAAGATTGATAATTATATCATTTTAATCGAAATATTATTTGAGAAAATTATTTAGTTTATTTAGATTAGTCTAGTAATATAAATACTTGTCTAGCTTGTCTTACTGTTTAACAAATTTATTTAATATTTAATATTTAGTAATTAATCTTTTTATGCTTTTAATTGTACATTATATATTATCAAAATGATTTTTGACCAAAAATAACAATTTGTTTTATAATATCTAAAAATCATAATATTGAACATGTATTAAAATGTGTACATAAATCTACATGTAATGTATATTAAGAATTTAATTCATCTTCATCTAATACACGGATTATAAATATGCAATATCTTTTACAAAATTTTTATTCTTGAAAATAGAAAAATGTACATATCTCTTCCGGGTTATATTTTCCTACTATTTTATAATAAAAATTTTTGATTGCGTCTCATTTACAAATCACAATTTTGTATTAAAAGAAAATGATTAAAAAATGATACAAATTTTTTTCGAATTTTAAAAATATCATTTTTTTTACCAAGTTTTATAATTTTATTATCAGAAAAGTATAATTTGAGAAGAGATATATAAAATTTTTTAAAATTTGATATATTTAGGTATTTATTTTATCTCTTTATGCTGCCATAAAATCATATAACAAAATTAATAGTACTTTCTCTTTAGTCCTTCTCTTGTCGATTTTCTTATCTTTAAAATCAGTCTAAAATACCTCTTTACACATTAGTATTAGAGTAAATTAGAGTTTTTATTCATCAATGAAATGGCATCATTAATACTAAATTTTTTTATTTATTTTCTTTATATTAAAATAGGCTTTACGTTTCTATAATAACATATCATATTAATTTCTATATGCTGTTTATTTAGGTAGACATAAAATAAAAATATGATATTGCGCAATTTTTAGCGTATAAATTGTTTCGATTCAACAAAAGCGAATTGAATGATTAATTTTAATTCTATAATTATAAATTAATTTTATAGAAGAATTGCTAATTCAAATTTTACAAATAAATTTATATATATTTTTGATATATTTCATTATAATAATATAATTGTAAATTTATCCTTATTTAATAACATAATAATGATAAATAACTTATAAACTTATAAATTTTAATTTATAAAATATAAAAAAAATTTTAAATTAAGTTAAAAATAATTTTTTAATTAATTTTTAATAATACAAAGATAAATATAAATATTATATATGCATGTTGTTATGTTCATAAACAATAATAAATTAATGAACAATGCAGTGATAAAAAAAGTTAACGTGAAAATAAATATTTTAAAAAGGTGAGATCAATGTTTTTCTTAAACAATCACCTTTCTAATATACAAGATTAATACTATATTAAGCGTTTTATTAAATAGAAGCGAGATATTCGTTATATCTCTTTTTTTGCGCTTGTTGAAACTTTTGCAGTTTTTTTATTTGCCCTTTACTAATTTCTTTACCATTGATATCATGCGTCGGTAAACCCTAAATAAGAAAAAAAGTTTTAAATTTTTTAATTATGAAAAAAATTATATATTATTATAAACAATTCTACGTACGTTGCTATCAAATCGAGAATATTTATTTCTTTCTAACTTAAAGATCTCAGAAGGGGGAATCTTCCTCTGTATTTCTTTCATTGCAGCTGTCGCAGCAATTTCTGCTTTTTTCTTTTCTTTTTCTAGCATTTTCTCTAATTCCATTTTCTTCTTAGATTCTTTTTCTTTTAAAAGATCTTCTTTATTTACTAATTTAATTTTACAAATTTCATTATTACTATCCTCTAAACGAACTCCAATATTTGGTAAAATATCATCACGTAATGTATCACATTCTTCAAGAATAGTAGTAGCTTTCAAAGTTTTAGCATGATTTCTTACTTTTTCACGGAAATTTGCCAAAATTTCAAGATATGGCATAACAGCCTGTTCAACCTTTATAATGAAATCCATAATGAAAAATTCAAAATATAAATAAAAAAAATATATATATAAAAATATAAACCATACATTTAATTTCACGATATTACTATCTATTGGAAAACCAATAGCATCATGTGAATATGATATAGTACCAAATATAGTAAACATTTTTGTAATATAAACTGCAACATCTCTAAGTAATAATGTATTTGGTTGTTTAATTTCTTTCATATAAATATTACAATGTGTCACAAGGTCTCTAATTGCATCAAGTGCGTTCCTTGTATCAATATTATCTAAAATAAAACGTATCTTTTAAATATCGATAATATAACAATAATGTATTTAATAATAAAAGAAAAAATATATTATAAAGAAAGAAATATATTATAGAATGTTAATATATTCGTGGAAGACTTTTGAAATGTTGATTTTAAACGGCAAAGTTTACAAAATACAAAAAATTGATATATAATACCGATTGAAGCTTATTTTTTATTTATAAGCAATTTACTATTTTTATATTTGTTTTGAATTTTAAAATTGTCCCAAAATCGATTTCTAAAAATATCCTACAAATATATATAGATAATTTATAAATACTTTCTTACCACATAATGCATTATGTACAAGATCTCTGGTATTATAAAATTTTTCATTTAATTCTATTTCGAAATTACTCCATTTAATAAAAGTATTGATATTCGTTTCAGAACCCAAAGATCTAATTTTACATTTTACATTTAAAAAAAATTCCTGTAATACAAATAATAAATTTTATCTACATTATATTATTAAATAATAAAATTTCATAATGTGTGTTATATTTACATTTAAAAATTTTTCATATTGAATAGCCATATGCATGGTATTATCACTATAATCTAATGTATCTTTCCATGAATGTAAAAGAAATGCAAGTCTAAGTTGTCTTGCTGAATACTTTTTTAATGCATCTTGTATAGTAATAAAATTTTTTAATGATTTAGACATTTTACATCCTGCTATGGTCAAATGACCAGAATGGAGAAAATATCTAACCCAATTAGAATTATTAAAGTATGCTTCTGCTTGTGCTATTTCATTATCATGATGGGGAAACTTTAAATCTACTCCACCAGTATGAATATCTAAACTTTCTCCACAAATTATAGATGCCATAACTGAACATTCTATGTGCCAACCAGGTCGTCCTTTACCCCAAGGACTTTCCCACCATGGTTCTCCTTCTTTTGAACATTTCCAAAGTGCAAAATCAATTGGCGATCTTTTTTCAGATATCTCTGAAGTGCTTAAATCTCCTAATAAAAAAATTTTCAATAAAAATTTGATACAAGAGTTTTTTAAAAAAATTTTAATATTTACCTTCTCCTTCTTGTAAACTCAATGTATCACCATATGCTTCTGGAACAAGTTTGGCATAATAATGTTTATCTTGTTTATTAAAAGTAGAAACATCAAAATATACAGAACCATTACTTTCATATGCAATTCCATTTTCTATAATTTTTTTAATAAATTCTATAATTTCTGGTATGTACTCACTAACTCTAGTCAAAACATTTGGTCTTAATACCTAAAAAATATATTTAATTTTTTAAATCATAATTAAACATTTTTCATATGTTTAATTTGATATTTCAAATAATAAAATAACATTACAAAAAATACATAATTATAAATAATATTTAATTTTACATTTAAAGAATCCATATCTTTATGAAATTCCTGTTCCCAATGTTGCGATAATTTGGTAAAAATTGAATGTTCTGTAACCATAGCACCTTTTTCTTTATCCAACCATTCTGCCAAAGGATCTCGTACTTCTTTTAATAACAACTGCATCCATAGAAGTTACAAACATAGTATCTTTAGATAAATTATTAAATAAAATTAATAATATTATTAATAATTAATAATTTTATTAATAATATTATTAATATTATAAATAATGGCATTATTACTATTTATAAATTCATTATTTAATGTATTTTATACAATGTAAAAGAAATATGTATACTTCTTGAAATTCCTTCATTTTATCTTCATCTTTAAGTTTTACTGCATCTTCAAGATTTTCAATAGCTTTTTCTACATTGCATAATATATTCTGTAGTATATATTTTTTATCTGTATCAGTTGTACTCTTTACAGTATCTTCAAAGATATACATTACATTTTTTGCATCATCCAAAATTTTATCAAGCGTATGATTTTCTTTTATATATTTTTCATATAAATAATTTTGTCTAGCTCTTTTTATAATTTTATCATCTATATCAGTAATATTCATCACATATAAAATATCATATCCAAAATAATCAGATAATACACGTCTTATTATATCAAAAGACATGTACGATCTAAATAACAATAAAAATTAATAAGAAAATATAAAAGTAAATATTCTGTATTTCATATTACACAATTCTATTTTGTAATTTAATTTTACAATTACCTAGCATGTCCCATATGTGATGCATCATAAACAGTAGGTCCACAACTATACCATAATATATGATTTCCAAATTGAGGAACAAATATTTCTTTATTTCTAGTTAAACTATTATACAATTTAAGAACTGAGCTATTTTTTCTTTCTGGTGGAACCCAAGATGGTTGTATTCTTTTTGCCATTTTTTAATTTCTCAAATCTAGAAATGTTTAAAAATAATAAATTATAAAATATATCTTAATATTTTCCTATCATTATAATAATAAAAAATTAATAAAACATACCTTTTTAAAAAGACTTGGCGTATTTTAATATTCTTTGTAAAATTTGCAAAAAATAATATTTACACAATTATACAAAGAAAATGAAAATTGTCAAATAGATATCACGTGTCCCGAATTCTGTTATAAATTTCTCATTTCTGTATATATTTTTTTAAATATTAAGATATTTGATATTAATATTAATGTTATTTTTTTTATTCTTTTCAAATAAAACATACATAAATTATGATTAAATGTCTATGATTCTTAAATAATCCATACACAACATTCGAAAGCAACTTTATTAAATTTTCTGTATCTTCGAATAAATTTCCACTAGATATTTCACTTAGTTCCCCTATTTTCAATCTTCAATACTGCAAAGCAAAATGTAGCTCAATATAAAATTATTTAAAAAATAAGTAAGTTTAATATAATATTAATAAATATTAATTATTTTTTATAAAAATAATTTATATATTTCTATAAATACAATATATAAAAAAAAAAAAACATATATGAAATTTATTTAATTTTTAAAATTACATCATTTCAATTTGTATTTTAAAATGAAATGTAAACTAGTATTTACTTCTGAGTTCGTTTTATTTCGTTTTATCAGCATTAATTATTGATATTAATCGGAACTGTAAAATATTTATTGTTGAAACAAATAATAAACAAATCTATATGTATTATGTATTAATCATTGTAAATAGAAATTTTACGAATAAATACTATAAAATACATATAATAAATAAATAATTTTTTTTGTTTCGTATTAAAAATCTTAAATTTTATAATAATATTAAAATTATAAATATTATATTAGTTAATAATATTATAAATAATAAGTAAATATTTGCAATTTTTAATTACAATTAATTACAATTTCTTAATTTCAAAATGAAATTAATTTTTATAACCTTACAGTGTAAAATATAATTTGATTTAATTGTATATAATGTAAATTAATATGTAATATAATTATAATATTATTATATAAAAAATATATAAAAATATTTGACTTCTTGAACTTATTAATATATAAAATTAATTTAGAAAAGCACTTTAATTATTTATATATGAATGATAAATGATAAATAATATAGATAATGATTATCCATATTTTTGTACAAAGTATATTTAATTATAATAAATTTTCTATAAATATTTTTCACATTTTTTAAATCTTTAAAGAAAATATAAATTAAATGTTGTACATTTTAAATTTATTAATATATTTAATATTTTAATTTTTTAAATTTGAAAATTTTATTATTTTTATTTTTTATTACTTTTAAATTTTGTGCACAAAAGATATGTTATTTTAAAAAATTTCCATTGATTTATATTATATTAAATCATATATAAATGACATACAAAAAGAGTTTAGAATATAATTCATATTTATATTATATAAAATATTAGTCTTGTATTTCATATAAAACTATAAATCAATTATATATCTTAAAACATATATTTTTTTCTTTTTCAAACAAAATTCATTATACTTCTCTTTTATTTTATCTTACTATAAATCTATTTTATATTATTATAAATACAATAGTTTTTATACATATAGTAATTTTCAGTTTTTTTAATATTTTTTTTATCTTGATTTAAATTGATAAATTATTTTGGAAAAGGTATTTTTGAAAATCATTTTACAATTTAGTAAATATAATTGTTTATACAATAAATTGAAAGAAAATTACAATGTTTTAATATTCTAAAATTATTTGTTAGTAATTTTTTCTTTAATTTTTATATTTTTATGTATAATTTAAATATTATATAAAAAAATATCTTTCTTTTTATATTTATGTTATATAATATATATATATAATATATATTATCTATGTTCTTTAGTTGGTTCTTCTTCCCACTCTTTACTTGGTCTAACAAATTCTAAATCACTATCTTCAGAACTTGACATATTATCATCATCAAAATATGGTTTTGTAATTTCTTTAATTTGTGTATGTCCTAAAAAAGTTTAAACTGTGAAATACTAATGAAATAAATAAATATGATACAATCTTAAATTAATAATTTGTAGTAAATGTTTGGAAACTGTTATTTTATTAAAAGAAAATTAAAATAATTTTTTTTCTAATTTTTTCTAATTTTTCTAATTTTCTAATTCTAATTTTTTTCTAATTTTTATAAATATACATCATAAATATACATAAATATAAGTATACTTATATAGATTTCGAAAATTTATATTTTTGTTATTGTTATTCTAAAACTTACCATTTAATGGTCTTTTAAATATTTCAATTTCTTTTTCATCATCATCAAAAAAACTTGTACCATCTTTTAGTAAACTAAATGAATATTGACGCCAATTATTTTTTTCTAAATTTTTGGAAGATTGACAGTTGATACAAATAAAAATAGAACATATAATAATTCCCAAACATAGAATACCTATAAAAATATAATTTATGATTATATTATTATAAAACATTATGATATGTATGTATTTACATATAATTACAATACAATTTATATAATTACAAATATATTGTAAAGATACTGAATATCTTACTTAAAAGTATAATAAAAACAATTCTGGGCATTCCCAAATAATTGTTGTCATATTTTAATTTGAATATTAAATACGAAATATTATGTATATCTGGTGTGATAAACACTTTAGTCTGCTGAATGTATTTAGATGCAGTGGCACTTATAACATGAGTACCAGGTTGAAACAAAAGCCAATAAGCTCCATGTATACCACTTTTGATGTGATGTATTGATTGATTATATGATAAAATAGCATTTTCAATTGGATGATTGTTTTCATCAAGAACATATCCTTTTATTCCTTCATTAAGTTTTTCTATCATTGCTAATAAACTAGATTTATTATCTTCCCATATATTTTTTGAATCATCTGTGTTACAACATGTTACATATATATTTAACATCAGAGTACTTGTATTTAAATAAAGATAATCCATTAATGAATGTTCTCTTTTTCCACTTATCCCTATCCCACCATGAATAATCCCATTAGTATTTATATTTAAATTATTATTACATTGCGAATCTTTAGATGTCATATGAATATTGTATTTTGTATATAATAATGCTAAATCTTGTAATATATCATCGTCATCTGTATTATATATTTGTTCATGTATTTTTCCATACTTTCCCGCAAATGGAATTTCAATATGTTGTGAACCAATGTTCAAATTTATTGCTAATACAGCATTAATATTTTTAAACCAATTAATTATCATACTTGCATCAGTAGTTAATTCATTATTAATAGGAAATTGTAAGTTATTCATTATACTTGATGTACAAGTTTGATTGTCATTAGAATTTTGGGATAAATCCGGTGCGATATATATCGTAAATTGATCTAAATAATTAGTTATTCTAATATCTTTTTGATAATGATCTAGTAAATACTTTGCAAAATAAAGTAAAATTTTAGATGTTACAGCTGCACCATTTGAAATACCTGCTACAAAAGCTATAGATGGCCGATCAATCTGTTTATTATTTTCATTTCCAATTTCTAAACACATTATTCGAGTACCTATTTGTGATTTACCAATAGTATGTAAAATTGATAATTGTGAATATTTATTATTCAAATCAATCAAAACTTGATTTACAATATTTGTTTCTTGATCTTCATCATATTTTTGATGTTCTACTTTTTTAATATGATGTTTTATCAATTTAATATAAAGATTAGTTATACTTTCATAATTTACATGAATTTTTATAGTTTGTTTAATGTAACCTTCACAGAAAAATGTTAAAATATATTCACCAGGAAGAACAATAATCTTGAAATAAGCCATGTTTTTAGAAACATGATAATTATTAGTTCCAATCTTAACTGTAGCTTTTCTTAAAGGAACATCATTAATGTCTGTTACTATTGCACGAATACCAGTTGTAAGTCCATGAATAAGTTTCTTTAAAGGTAATAAATTTTCGCGCCAAATAATTGGAATAGATCCTGGATGTGGATACTTACAACAATCCATATTGATACTTATCTAAAAATATAATTATTTAAATATATATAGATGTTTATCTTAAAATAATAAAATAAACAATTAATAGAAATAAAAAATAATTTCATATATTAATAAATATATATTACTTACTACTGGTATATTATATTCATTTTTAATATAATTTTGTACTTCCTTAATATCATTATTAAGAAAATTACAAGTTCCTTTCCGTAATGAATGTTCATAATTTTTGGCTAGATTTTCATATACATTCAAATTATCATCTGTATAACTAAGTAAAATAAAAATATATTTTATTATTATAAAAAAATAAAAAATATATTCTTATACAATATTAATACTTATGCAATTTTTAATACCTAACTTCAAGTGCTCCACTTCCTAATATTATTATCACATCATATCCTTCATTAAGTAACATTGTTTTAAATGCATTAGTGATTTTATTTAATTTATTCGAATTAACAATATTTTGCTGTAATAATTTTTTTCCTACTTCATCATATAAAATTGGATTACAATCTTGCATATTAAATATATTATCAAAACCAGGATCTATCCCAGGTATAAAATGTAATACAGAGTTATTCAATATTCTTTCTATAGGAGGATCTCCAATTTGATTTCCCATCAAAATATGAGTTGCTAATCGTAATAGAATTTCTCTTCCTATTGGTTGAGATGCAAATAATCCTCCAATTAAACCAATATGAAATTTATTTTCTTCTGGTGCACCTATCTATAATTAATAAATTTTTTAATTTTATTTATTAATTTTTGTGAAAAAATAAAGTTAAAAATTTTATATGATATATAATTATAATATAATATAAAATTTTAATAATATATTTACATTATTTGTAACTTTTAAAGAATGAATAGCCATATTAATTAATGATTCTCCTGCTAGAAATTCTGCAATATTTGGTTGATGACTTTCTAATTGACTAAATCTAGCACTTAATTCTGCATTTTTTAAATATACGTTCTGTAAATTTGCCATTAATCGAAAATCATAAGCAGATGACCTAAAATAAGAAATTATATTTTTACTTTAATATATAATTTATTAAATATATAATTATAATTATTATTATAATATATAATTATAATTAAAAATTAAAATATAAATGTTAATAAATTAAGGAACAAAAATTTATATTTTTATGTTAAATTAAATAAATTTTGATATTGTTCATTTTATTTTGTTCAAGAAATCTATTGTTTAAAAAATCTATTTCTTTTTAATATTCAATGATAATTAAAAAACATAACATGATTATTCAATAAATTATTCTAATAATTTGTTCTGTTAATTAAAATATAATTGTAATTTATTTTCTCATGGTTAATGTATTTTGTAACAAGTTAAAATATTTACTTTTGTGAAATTCTTAATTTCTTCATAAAATGAAATTTTTATGATTCCTTAACAAATACAATTTGTTTTAATATTCAACAACACATAAATATCATTATTCTGTAAATTGTAATACAATCTATATAAGAATTATATTAAAATATTCTTTACTTTCAAAAAATTCTTAAAATTAGCTAATATATGATTATACCAATGTTCAGGATCATCTCGCATTAATGTGAAATCCAATGTCACTTCTCCTTCTCCAAAATTAATTCCATTTGATATTGTTACAGTTTGCATTTGAGATTCATATCCTACTGCATTAACTGTAACATTGTATTTTCCTGGAACCAAAAGGCGCCAATAATCTCCATCATTAGCTGCATAAATATCATGTTTAATTCCTTCTATAGATATTTTAGCATGAGGTATAGGATTTCCAATTGATGAACGTATTACACCATGTATTCCTTTACGAGACTGTAAATAAAAATATTTAATTAAAATTAAAAATTATTTTTACAATATACATGTATGTGCGCGCATGCGCATATACGTGTGCGTATGCGTATGGATATGCATATGTGTGAGTAATACCATTTCAATAAGACGTAGAAGAGGTTCTCTATTTTGTAACCAATAGTTTGGTAGTTCAGTTACATTTGGAAATTTTGTACATCCTACTTCTATTGTAATTTCAAAATCATTACTATGAACATAATTATAATCTTGCATGCCTCCATTAACAGAATACCAAGCAGCACCATTAGTTATACCATTTGGAAAACTTTTTTCTAGCACATTTGATTCTGTATTTAATCGTCCATTCGAAAATGAAGGACATGGTTCTCCAAGATGCATACGAGGATGAGCATTTGAATATGCTAATGCTAAAGCTTTAAAAACTTTATCATCTGGACTAGGATTTTCTCCATTAGCTGCATATTCTGGTTTATTATCATATGGATAATTTGCTACTAATGCTCCTCCATGAAAATTAGCAGAAAGTACAAATGGAATACTTGCAATCCAATTCATTACAGCTTTTGTTTCTGTTTCTTGTTTTTTATTATACTATAAGATAATTAGAATCAATTTAATATACTTATAAATATAAATAATGTATTAAATATCTTAAACAATTAAAAAATTTAAATTCATACATTATTGGTTTCGTATTGATCAGGAAAATTTCTGTTGAGATCAACTCCTTTAGCATTTGTCCTTCCTTGTATACCATCTACATCTCCTTCTTTAGAAATTTCATAGCCATCTGGATTCATACTTGGCATTACATGTAATCTTACATTTTTTAATATTTTTGTAACTCTTTTGTCATTTCCAAAATTTTCACAAAGATATTTTAACAACAATAATAAAATTTCTCTACCAACAACTTCATTACCATGCATATTTCCTATATATTTTATTTCAGGTTTATTTTTACTATGTTTTCCAGGATTTTCTGTTATTTCCATAACATATAATTGTCGTTTTTTTATAGATTGTCCAATACTATAGAGTCTTGTAATATTTGGATAATTTAAATTTAATTCTTTCAAATACTTTTCCATTGCTATGTAATTATGATGCTTGAATTCCGTATTATGGAGAAAACCATATTTATCAACAGATTTGATAATTTCCTCAACTTTGTCTGACTTTAATTTCCCTATAAATTAACATAATATTAAAACTAAAAGCAACTAAAATTATTAATAAAATTTATATATATTGTAAAAATTAAATTTAATATAAAATATATTTATAATCATATTTATAATTTATATTTATAATTTTTTTTCATAAGTTTTTCATATAAATAAAAAAATGTGAAGATAAAAATATAATAAAAATATAAAAAATATAAATTATAATATATATAATATATAAAATATTTTTATATATATAATAAAACACAAGGTATAGAGAACACAAAATAGAACATTGAATAAAATATAAAAGACCAATAAAAAAAAGAAGCTGTGAATAACATATCACAAAAACATTTGAAATATTATCATTTAAAGAATAAAAAATTATAGGAAAAGGCTGGAAGATATTTGAGAAAACTAAATCATTGTTTGACACAAATATAATAGTTTATTTTTTCAATTTTAAATATTGTACATTTAATTTGATTATATATATTATGCTATACATAAAATTACAAATATAATCATAAACATCATTCATTATTTTATATCTTTTTGTTAATATTAATAAAATTACATGATAAATATTTATCGTTGCTAAAAATTTTTTAATGCATTTCTCATATATTTACTTCATATATTTTTTTCTATTTTATAAAATTATTACATTAGTTAAATTTAACTAAATAAATAATAATTTAATATGAATTTTTAAATAAACATATTTAATAATAATTTAAATATACTAAAATATATCTTTATAATTTTTAGAATTTTTATTTGTTCTTATAAATATTTATTATTGATATAAAATAAATATAAAAAGAATAATTAAATAAAAAATAAAAATAATAGAATATTTAAATAAAAAATATTAAATTATATTAAAATATAAAATCAAAATTTGTTATTTCCTTGATAACAAAAATTATTCAATAAAAAAAATATGTATCATAAAAAAGATATGTTTAGTACATAATATTTTTCTCTTATAATATATTCATTTAATTTTACATTTATAAAATGTATAGATCAATTATTTAAAATTTTAAATTTATTATTTTTTTAATTATATTTTATACAACTATTACAACATTCCTTGCATGCTTTTATTTAAAAATTATATGCTTTTTCAAAATATTTTTTTTTTTTACGTTTAAAATAAAATAAATAATAAAAAACGTAATTAATAACTATAAATATAAAAATATAAAAATATAAAAATATTAAAATTATATATAAAATTTATATGTTTATGCTTCAATTTCACTGTGCTTATAGTAATTCACTGTGTTTAGTAAGTACATAATTTTCAATATAAATAAGTATAAGTTTTCTATAAATTGCAAAATTTGATATTTTTCTCCATACCTTGTGTATATTTTTTATATTTGTTTGAACTAATAGAAACATAAATTATAATAAAATGTATTGGAAATAGAAGTATCAAATAATCTTGTGTTATGATCATATCAATGCTGTAAAAATGAAAATAATAAACATGATAAAATAATTAATTCATTAAAAATGATTATAAATTTATAAATAATAAATATACAAATAAAAGTTTTATTTTATAATTTTAATTTCGTAAAAAAATAAAAAAAATAAATAATATAATTATATAAAATATAACTAATAATTCACATATCATCATAAGATATTAATTTATAAAGTGCATGATATTGATTAGGAAGTAGGAGCATACGAACTAAATGTGCATCTTGATTACCTTGATCATAATTGTCCTGTTTTAAAGTGAAATTGACAATAGTTGGTTCACCTGAATTTACTATAACATTTATTGGTTCACTTGAATGATATCTAAAATTAAAAAAAGTTATATATAAATAAAATGTTATTAAATAAATGATAAATTAACAATTAATCAAAATTAAAGAATAATTTTTAAATAATACTAAATATATTTAATCATATAATTAATATTAAATAAACTCAGAATAAATAAATTCTTTATTTAAATATATTCACCCCCATGCTTCTGCATGAATATAATAACTTCCAGGTAATAATAATCGCCAATATTCTCCATGATTTGTACTTGAAACATTATGGTTTATTCCATGTACAATAATAGTTGCTCCTTCTATTGGTTGACCATCTATATCTCTTACAAGACCTATTATTTAAAAAACCAAAAACTAATTTATGATATATACCTTAATATATATCACAAATTAATATTTAATATCATTGATTAAGAATTATGTTATTTAATGAACATCTAAAAACCTTTTATTCCAATATGAGCTTGTTCAAAATATGTTATAAGAGATTCCTTATTTAATTTCCAATATTCTGGCATTTCTGAAGCATTTGGATATTTACAACAACTAAGTTCAAATGTTATTTCAAATGCATTAGAACGAGCATAATTAAAATCTTGCATTCCTCCAATAACTTCATACCTAAAACAAATAAAAATATTTCCTTTCCACAAACAAAATTTATATTTTTTAAAAATAAAAATTTAAAGTATACTCACCAATATGCTCCATTGATGACACCACCTTGAAAGACATCTGACTCACATGCATGACCTGTACGCATTTGAGGATGGTTATCTGCATATGTATGTGCTAAATATTTAAATAATTCATCATCTGGACTTTTACTTTCAGTACAGCAACTAGTTAAACTACTAAAAAATAATATATTATGTAAATTTCAAATTAATAAATAATATTTTATAATTTAATAATTCAAGATTAAAAATATAAATATTATATCATATTACCCAGAATCATAAGGATAGCTTGCTACAACAGCACCTCCATGAAGATTTCCTGATAATACAAATGGTTCTGTAGCAATCCAAGTCATCATAGCTACTGTTTCATTTTGACGTCCATCTAATATATTACCACCTTTTTGGAGATGATTAGTTCTTCTATCAAATTGATCTGGAAAATTTCTATTTAAATCAACATGATTTGCATTTTCACGACCTGAAAAGTCTTTTTTGGATTCACATTTTCCTTCCTAAATATGTAAAAAAATATTAAATCAGAATTTATATAAATTATATAAATTAACTTATATATTATAAAGATAAAAAATAATAAATTATAAAATAATAATAAATATAAATTTTACCTCTGATTTTTCAAATCCATCAGGATTCATTGATGGCATAAGATATATATCAGTATTATTGATCAACTTTGTAATTCTTTCATCCTTTCCATAATTATGTAGAAAATATTGGGCAAGATATACTAATAATTCTCTACCAACAGCTTCATCACCATGCATATTAGCAACATATTTCACCATTGGTTCACACAATTTTCGTTCTTTAACATTCTCAGAAATTTCAAGAACTAACAAATTTCTACCTTCCACTGATTTTCCTATGGAGAATACTTTTGCCAAATTTGGATATTTTTGAACCAATGAATTAAATAACTGTTGAAGTTCTTCATAATGTGTATAATGTGGAATGATAAAATTTTCTTCTAATTTATTTTCAGAATTAATCGCAAAACCATAAATAATTCCAACAAATAATATCATAAACGGCATGGTATATATGATACTTATGTGTGCCATATTTAGATATTTTTTTTTGTGTAAAAATATAAAAAACTTTTTATTTTCAATGAAACATTCTACAGAAAGCAATATATTTATACAATATCAATATAATATAAGTATGTACTGATGACTGATGACTGATGATTAATGACTGATGACTGATGACGTCCACACAAATGTAAGCGTAAGTAGAAAAGGATAGAAAAATTACTATGAATAATATATAGTATAAATTGTACAAGTACTAAAAGCATGTTTTGAAAAGTTGGCAATCTGAACAGTAAAGAATTATTTTATTCATTGCTCAACTTCACGAGATTATATAATCTTATTTAAAAATTATGATATATTGGTTTACTGATAATCTTCATTTTTATGATTATATTCGATCTATTAAAAATAATTATTCAAACTCATTTTTTAATTATACATATGTATAATAATATATACTTATTTATTTTAAATTTTTAAATCGAAATATAATTTGAATTTAGCGCATATTTTATTCTTTAATTAATAAAATAAAAATCGTGTATGTAATCAGTAATAATTCGAAAAATTCCTAAAAAAGTAAAAATGCCTTTCTATAATTTTTAACTTGAATAAATTTTAATCGAAATCATCATTTTTAGATTCTGTACGTTAGAATTTGTAGAAATATTTTTAAAAAATATAAAAATGTTACAATTTAATCAAAAAATTTTATATTAATATTAAAAAAACGTTTATGCATAATTAATCATAACCTATTCTAAAATTGATTCTAAACTATTATATATATAAGTTCTATAACATATTATAACAAAATATATATATATTACATCCTTTTTTTTTAAATATTTTAGTATTGTTTAAATTTTAAAATTTGTTTATATTTTATTTAAATTTATTTTAATAAAATTATATTAAAGAAATATTATAATGCTTGCAAACGTAAAAAACATAAAAAACCTATAATATCTTCAATATAATCACATAAATATTTGTGAGAGTTTAATAAATAATATTGTATAAATATGTCTGATATTAAAGAAGAAAAACAGTAAGTAATAAAAATAGTAATAATAAAATTGAATATAAAAAAAAATAAATAAATTATTAATCATCATAATAAATTTTAGATACGGTTTAATTTTATCTAAAAAACAACATATTATTCCAAAGGTTAACAATATATTTGGTGATAGTAATGATTCAGATGAAGAAGATGGTACAGATTGGGTTAAAAAAGCTCTTCAGGCAGAAGGAGAAAAAAACAAAATAAAAAAACAAATAAAATTAAATATGCAAAAAGCATTGAAAGAAAACCCAACAATATTCCAATATGATGAAGTATATGATGATATAGAAAGAAAAAAAGATCAATCTAAATCTACAAAAGATGAAAAAAAGAAACCAAAATATATTCAAAATCTTTTGAAAGCTGCTGAACGAAGAAAAAAAGAACAAGAATATAGAATAGAAAGAATGGTTCAAAAAGAACGAGAAGCAGAGGGAACAATGTATGCAGATAAAGAAAGTTTTGTTACTTCTGCTTATAGAGCAAAATTAGAAGAATTTAAAAGGATGGAAGAAGAAGAAAATAGAATGGATAAATTAGAAGCTATTGCAGATGTTAAAAAACAGCAAGATATGTCAGGATTTTATAGACATTTGTATGTGCAGACTACTCAATCTTCAGAGAAATCTGAAATCAAAAACAATATAAATAATGATGAAAGTGATTTTGATAATGTAACTAAAAAGATAGATATCAGTGCTGTAAATAAAGAACAAATTAAAAATAAAGAAATAAAAAAAAATAGACAATATAGACAAAGAAAAGTAGAAGACAGTGACACAGAAATTGAAATTGAAGAAAAAATGGAAAATAAAGTAAACATTATTTTATCTGAAAAACGTAAAAATATTGAAAAAGAAACTGTAGAAATAGAATGTGATGCTAAAAAACAAAAGCAACAAACTGAAAATATTAAATCTAAAGAAAATCTTAATGAAACTAAAATAGAAAATACTTTCAATTCAAAAAATGATGATAAAATATTAGAAAAATCTGAAAATAATGATGAAACTGAAAGAAAAACTATTAGTTTAAAAGCAAAAATAGAAGCAGAAAAAAAAGAACGATCTAAAATTTGGGAAAAAAGAACAATTGGTCCTGAATTTGAAGCAGCGTTGCAAAGATATTACTCTAGGAAATCTATGAGATTGTCAATTGCATAATTTAATGTATTTATAAAATATATAAAAATAAAAAGTACCTAAAAAGTATTCAGTAGTATATTAGGATTTTATATAATTCTGATAAAAAACACATTTATAATATAGAATATAAGATTTTTCTTTTTAATATAATATATATGTATGTAATAAAATAGTTAATTAAAATATTGTATAGAAATTGTATTAACAATACATTGTAATCTGGAAAAATGTCTGTTATCAATATTATAATATATAAATTTTTATACACAAAAACAAATCATGGCACATTATGGTTACAATACATTATTTAACTTCTATAATGCTAATACACAATAAAATCATATACATATATTCTTCCTTATTTTCAAAATATTCTATGCATTGCATATAATTTTTTTATTTAAAAAATATTATTTTATGCAAGTATAAAAATTTTTTGAAAATATGATATTAATGGTTTTATAAATAATTAAAAATATTTCATTTTTAGCAAATTATAAATTGCATGATTTAAATATTTCATTACTAAACGAATAAATAAATTATATGATTTAATAAGATGAAATAAGCTGTGGTTCCATATGTCCACTATCACCTAAACTTCTTAATGTTACCCTTCCATTAGGACGAATAGATACCCATGTAATACTTCCATGATTTAAACTTAAACGTAACCAACCTTCAGGTGGAAATTGCAATGCTCTAAAACAAATAAAATAATGATACATAAATTTTACATATGAATTTTTAATTCTATTTTTATTTAACAATATATTACCGACAAACAAAATATCTAATAACGTTTGCATGGCAAACAAGAATAACATATGAATCTTTTTCCTGACTAGGTTCTGGACGATGAAAATACTTTCTAAATGCAGCTTCTATTCTAGGTCCATCTTCATAAACCTGAAATACATTAAAAAAAAGTAATATTATAATATATTAAAAAAAAAAAATGATTTAATGAGAACTAAGTTCTAAAATTTTTCATTTCTTTTTCATAATATAATATACAAAAATATATAATATTCCAAAAATAAAACTTTTAATAATTGTATTTATAATATTATTATATTATATAATTGTATTATAATATTATAATATACTTACAACTACTTCAGAATTCCAAACATTAATTGGAGGATCAGGTGCAATTGGCATACCTTCACTAAGTACAGAATCTTCTTTGAGTGTAATATCTTTAAGATATTTTTCTATAATTTTAGCAGTTTCTTTAGCTCGAATTATTGTTGATTGTACAATTAAAGAATATGGTAACCCTAATTCCTGTAATCTCTTTCCTGTTGCCTCTGCTTGTTGCCTACCTTTATATTTTAAAACTTTCATAATTATTAATATATATTTTCTTAATAGATTTATATTTTTATTATAAAAATTTAATATATTTAAAATTATAATATATTATTTGATACCAACCAAGAGTTGTAAGTGTTCGATCTGAATCTGTTTTGCCTTTTGTATTATATTGTCCATGACGAATTAAAATTATATGATGTTTCACATTTGATTTCTTAATTGATCTTTTTTTACGCGATTCTTTATCAGTTTCTTGTTCATCTGATTTAGCTACGTTTGCTAACCATTCTGGATGTCGTCTATAAATGAATATAATAAATTGAATTTTTAAATAATAAAACAAAAATATAAAATTCACAGAATTTTACAGAACATTATATTAAATAAATAAATAAATAAATAAATATTAAATAAATAAATAAATAAATATTAAATAAATAAAATTTATAAATATTTCTAATTTATAATATAATATTTTTATTCATACTATTTTTAAAACAAAAATAAAAATGAAGTATAATATATATAATATATAATAATATATAATATAATACATAATATAATATATAGTTATATATTAGTTATATATATTAATATTAAAATATTATAGTTATATTTTATTTATTAAAAAATCTTAAATAGATATAATAAATAGAAATAATTATAATATTATAATATTAATTACATTAGATGAATTTATACTTAAAAATAAAAATTAATATTTTATTTAAATAAGATAAAAAATATATTTTTTTACGTTTATACAAAATATATATATTTATTAAAAAATTAATTTATTTATTTAATTACAAATTATTTAATTTTATTAAGAAAAATATGAAAAAAGATTTTAATTATATAATAATTGATTTATAAAATCAATATATATTATAAATCATATTATATTGATTTATAAATCAATATAATATTTTCATAAATAACTATGATAGTAATAATAAATATAACCTATCCCAATTATGATCCCATCTGCCCCAAGATGAAGGTGTTATCCAAGAATGTTGTTTTTGTGATGAATGAACATGATCGTTATCATTTGGATAAAAAAGCATTGCACCACCTATTACACCACATCCAGCAATCCATTTTTTTAAATTCAAACGTATAGGCATTATTATTATAAATTTCCACGACCAAAGTTTTTAATCATTTAAATCAATGCTGCTCATGTATAGAATGTCTTTGAATTTGTAATTTTTTTTGCTTTTTTTTAATAATAATAATAAAAATAACAAATATATTCTAATAAGAAAAAAAATATGTAAAATACTATTTTAATATGAATGATAAGATAAAAAAATAAAATTAGAAAATTCTCTCAAATTTTGGAAATTTATTTATCTAACAATCATTATTTCTATAGTCTGTCCAATGAATTAAATCAAAGGAAGTAAACAAAACCATGTGATTAAAATCTAAAAGAAACAAGATTAATTTACAATTTTAAAATATTTTATTTATTTTTCTATATCAATTTATTAATATAAATAATTTGATTAATATAAATAAACTTGATTTAATAATTGTTTATTTTTTTTTTAGAATAAATAAATTTTTATAAAATTGTTATAAAATGTTAAATACAATTTTTAAATTTTTTTTTTCATACGAAATTATTTATATATTTATTAGTTTTTCAAAACTATGAGAAAAATAATATTTTTTAATTTTATTTTATAATTTGCAAATTGTAGAAATAAAAAAACAATTGAAATATTTTTTTTTGAAATATTTTTAAATATTGTTCTTTTTATATTTAAAACGTATTTACATTTGTTATGTTTATAAAATTTTTACAAAAATGATACAGTTTTATGAATGAAATAAAACAAAAATTATAATTTTGTAAAACTTGTATACAAAAATGAAATATAGATAACATAAATGTTTTTTATTAAATAAAATGATATGCTATTTTAAATTTAATTATAAAAACAGCTGTGGTTTCATATGTCCTGTATCACCAAAAGCCCATAATTTTACAATACCATCAGGATAAATAGTAATCCATGTAATACTAGCATGATTCAAACTTAAACGCAACCAACTTTGAGGTGGAAATTGTAATGCTCTGGAATGAATTAAAGAAAAATAATATTAACTTGTATTAATCAATAATATATACAAAATAGTTTACCTGCATACAAAATATCTAATAATATTTGCATGACAAACAAGAATTGTATAAGAGTCTTTTTCTTGAGCAAAATCTGCACGATGAAAATATTTTCTAAATGCAGCTTCTATTCTAGGTCCATCTCTATAAAACTGAAATATATTAATATCTTTTATGCAATATTATTTTAAATAAATATTTTTTAAAATATAAATATTTATAATTTTTTTAGTTTATATATTTACATTTACTTCAGGTTTCCAGTTAGATGATGGTGGATCGGGTTGAATTGGTGCACCTTCATTAAGAAGCAAATCACATTTTATTGGTACATTCTTAAGGCCTTTTCCTATAATTTTAGCAGTTTCTTGTGCTCTTGTCATTGTTGAATGTACAAGTAAAGTATATGGAAAACCTAATTCTTGTAATCTTTTCCCTGTTGCCTCAGCTTGTTGTCTACCTTTATAAAATTTTAAAAATTTTATTAAATATATACTATTATAGTAATACTAATATAATAACTATTATAGTAATACTGCTATAATAGTAATATACATTACATATATAAAGAAGAAATTTAAATACATTTTGTTCAATATAATAAAATAATTTAACATTTAATTAAATTTTTAATAAAATAATTTTATATAGAAACTTAATATTATATCATAAATCATTATTTTATATAATTTTTATTTCATTTATTATTTAATATTATTTATATTAAATATATATATATATATATATATATATACAATATATGAACTTGATAAATGTGTCAAATTATTTTAAAAATTATTAAAATAAATTTAACATGTAAATAAATGTTATAAATAAATACCAACCAAGATCTGTAAGTATTCCATCTGTATCTGTTTTAGCTTCTACATTATATTGTCCATGACGAATTAAAATTATATGACGTATAGCTTTTGCTGTTTTACTTATTAATTGTTTATTATATAAATTTTGATTAGATTCATTATCTATTTTCATTGGTTTTACTAAACTTTTTGGATCTCGCCTAAAGATATAATAAAATATAATAGTAAAAATATAAAAATTAATTGAAAAATGATAATAACTAATAAAATAATTATATGAAAGAATATGAAAAAATTAATTATTAAAATTAATTATTAAAATTAATAATTAAAAATATTTGATATAATTATTATATAAAAACATATTATATGTATTATTAAATATATTTTATAAATATATTTTATACATTGCTATATATTTGTTACATAAATAATAATATGAATATAACAATAATATTTAATAATATGAAAAATAATAAATATTTAACATATATATTTAATAATAAAATATCAACAAAATAATAATAATATTAAAATTTAATAAAATTTAATATGATATATTAAAATTTTAAACGCAATAAAAAATAATATTTTATTTAATAATCAAATTATTTAAATATATTATTTTTAATTTTATTTTAATAAATTTGCATATTTATTTATAATATATGCTAAAAAATAATATATATAAATATAATATAATAATAACGAAATATATTATATTATAATAAAATAATAACGAAAGAGATATGAAATATAATTTTAATTATGTGTTACATATTATATTTTAAAATATTTATACGAATGACAATAATAACAATACCAAAGAATACATATATATACCTATCCCAATTATAATCCCAACTAGAAGCTGCTATTCCAAATTTATGTGTGTGTAAAAATTGATTATTATTATCATTATCATTTGGATAAAAAAACATAGCACCACCTAATGCACCAAATCCTACAATCCATTTTTTAAAATTTGAACGTATAGACATTGGTACAATAAAATATCACAATTAAATCTTCTAAGTGATTTGAATCAATTTTATCTGAAATATAACCTACATCTTTAAGTATCATAGATACGTGGTATTGAATTTGGCAACACTGTTTTAGTAATAGAATGAGTAATATTACTTAAAATAAGCTATTAAAGTAAATAGGCAAAACATAATTAATATTTAAAAAAAAAATTGATTTAAATATACTATAATTAATATATTTTTAATAATCATGTATAAGTAACATATAAGTAAAAAATAAAAAATAGAAAATGATTAAGCTTTTAAAAATATTCATTATTTAGAAACATATAACATATAATTAATATAACAAATTTTACTTTTATATCATATTAATAATAAAAAATTTATTTTAATTTACGTACAATATATTTTATATTCATATTTCAGATTTTATATCTAATTTTAATTACTTATTATTAAAAATTTATTTATGTTTTAATATATGATTAATATATGATTTTAAGATAAAATTTCATTATTTTATTAAATATTATTTTCAGTTTTGTGTCTATAACATTTATAATTTTTATTGACAGGAATCCATTAAAAGATTACCATCTTTATCTTTAAGACGTATTCTACCATTTGAATAACGAGTTTCCTGTGTACCATCAAGATAAATTAGTTTAACAGTGCCATCAGGATATTCCCGTCTCTAAAAATCACATAAAAAAATATTTATATAGATATAAATCTTTTAATAAATTAAATTTTTTAAAAAAGTTAAAAAATTCTTATTTTTAAGAAAATAAATATCTATCTTTTTACCTTATGAGTATTAGTATGTATTTCACGTTGTCCATTTGGTAGAATGAGAATTTTTTCACCATTAGTAAGAATTTGAATTAATGTTCCATCTGGCAATGTCCATTTTTCAATACCATCTGACTCTAGGATTCGCACTGAACCATCTGGAAATGAGACTTCTACTGTACCATTCTGCGATCGTCTTTCTATTTGACCACTATATAATAGCAAAAAATAATATTTACTGTATAAAACTTTATAAACCTTATAAAACTATATAAACTTTATATACTGAAATTTATAATTAAATAATAAAATTAAAAAATAACTCACTCAGAGAATTCTAAAATTTCTAAACCATCTGGCATTGTTGTGTGCCATGTACATGTTGATGCATAAAAATATTTTATTTTTCCATCTTTATTAGTTTCACGCATATCTCCATTATAATATATCAATTTAGTTACACCTTGATCAGGAAATATCTTTTTAATATTTCCATTTGGAAATCGATATTCAATAGAACCATCAAAATGTTCAATTTGTGTCACATCTTGTTTAGCATCTTGTTTGGCATCTTGTTTAATTTTGTTTGAAGATGTAGTTGTTACATATGTATTAGATTTATCTAATGATGCCAAACTTTTTTCATAATTTTCATTATATGTTTTCATAGATGGTATAAAAGATGTGTGATCATTCTGCATATATAATTGAATATTTTTGATTTGATTATCTTCATTGATTTCTATTTGATTATTATGGTTAAAAAATATATCACATTCTTTATATGATTTTTTACTTTTTTTATTATCTAATTTCTTAAATTTATTGCTTAACTCTGATTCAGATTTATTTAAATTTTCAGGAACATTAAATTGCTCTTGAATTTCTATTAAATCTGATGTTGCTTCTTTGATTAAATTTTCATATAAATTTCGTTTTTTAGCAACATCTGTTATAGTTGTTTGATTAGTTTCTGATTTATTAATTATATTTTTATTATGATTACAATTATATTCTTTTCCTTTTTCTATATTCTGGTCATTAGTTATTGTATTTATCACCAGTTTTTGATCAGATTGTGATAAAGCATCATTAATTTTTTGAGATTCTTTAAACTGCATATCAAGTTGTTTATTAATTTGATGAATTACTCTTGTATTTGCAGATGTTCCAAATTTTCCTTTATTTCTATCATTTTTTTTTAAATTTTGTAATCTTTCTATTTCTTGTTTTAATTTTGAATTTTCTCTTTTTAATATTCTCATTTGGCATTTATATCTAGATTCTGCTGCATTCCATCTACTTTCTTTTATTTGTATGTCTTCTGTTAACTTTATTATTTCTTGTTTTAAATTTTGAATTTCCTGTCTTTCTAATTTACTTTGTTGAGCTTTTTCTTGCGAATCTCGCATTCTATTTTCTAATGCTGCTTTCTGACGTGCTAATTTTTTCTTTTCTTCTTGTAAGCGTTCTTCCACTTGTTTTTTATTTTGTTCAAAATTTTTTTCTTTTTCTGCATATTCTTTGCGTAAGTTCTTATAATCTTCGTGTAATTTTTTACGTTGCATAGATAACGCTGTATTTTCTTTACGAAATATATTAATTTCTTGTTCAAGTTCTAATAAACGATTTTTTAAAAGTTCTGATTTAAAAATAGATCCATTTGTTTCTTGTAAGTCTTGTACATTTTCTTGATATTCTGTGACTTTTCCATTATCACAATTATTTACATATTCATCTATTTCTTTATTGTCATATCTTTTCATATATTGTTTTAATGTTCTAATATTATAATTATCAGTTCTTTGTGATATTGAATTATTTTGACTGTTCTTATATGAATTACTTACTTCATCATTAGAAGTCTGATCTTCTGCGTCGGATATTTCTAATTCATCTTTATGATAAACATATTGATGTATATTTGTTTCACAAATAGAATTATTATCTTCTTTTATATCTTCACAATTTTGAGCTTTATAATTTAATTCTTGCATTTTACTTTTCATTGTTATAGAAGGTTGTGACATATTAAATGTTATTGGTATTGTTTCTGTGGTAGATTCAGTTTCTAAAACTGAAGAATCACTCCAAAGTTTATCATCAAAAAAACATTTTGTTGCTAATGATTCAGTTGATGTACTTGATGTATCTGTTAATCCAATTGTTTTATATTCATTATGTTCAGAAAATCTAACATGAAGACTATCATTTATTTCATTATTTTTTTCAATAACAGGCACATTACAAAAATTCTGTTCATTATATGTAGATTGAATTTCATTTCTTAGTATATGTCCATCTTCATTTGTTTTCATTGTATTATTTTCATCGATATGTTGTATATTTTCATATATATTATCATGATTTTTGATAGTTTTTTGATTCTCAAAAGGCATAAAATCATCCATATCCTTATTTGATGTGATACATTTAAATATTTGATTAGATGACTTTAAATCCAATTGCTTTTTAGGTACTTTATTTATTGGAATTATTTGTTTTGTTTTTTTCATATTATTTTCTGTTTTATATTCAGCATTTTTCACTTTAAATGGAGTTGATTGTTGTAAAAATGCAGTAACTGTACTAGATGTAGAACAAAAACTAGAATTTTCTGCTTTTTCTTCCAACAATTCAAATATTCGTACTTCTTCCAATTCTTTGTGGGTTCCAGAATGAAAATCGGAACTATTTAATTCAATTGTATTTTTCATTTCATTAATATGATCTTTCAAATGAGAAGATGAAATATTAGATTCAGATTTACTATAAATTTTCTTCTTTGGCAATGGAATATTTTTTAGAGATAAATGTTTTTGGGCTAAATTTGTACAATGTATATTTTTTGATAATTGTGCATTTTTTGAATCTTGAGTAGTTTTATTAGATTTATTTTCATTTTTGGAATATTTAAAACCAGATTGTATCTTATTATTAAAAGAAGCACTGCGTGATCTAATCTTTAAAGTAGAAAGTTGTGACTTTTGATTTAATTTAAATCGAGTTAAACCTTCTCCTTTTCTTAGAAATGGTTTTTTTATTTTATTTCCTGAATTAACATTGGATTTTATAAGAGGTTCAATTTCATTATTATCTTTCAATTTTTCTTCTAACAATGTATGAAAATCTTTTTTAGGAGAAAAAATTGGTATATCATCAATAGAAATATGATTAATGACTGTTTTATCAGGAGGTAATGGTGCTATTCCATCTATAAAAAATTGTTCTATTTGTTTTTCTTTTTTTGAAGAAGTTATTGAATTTATTTCATCTTTTGATTGTTTTTTTATATGATTTTCAATATTAATTATATCATCATTGAAATTCCTTGTAGGAGATTTTTGTTGTAGAATCATATTTTCAAAACTATTATTTTGACTTATACATGATATATTATCATTTATCATTTGTATGCAATTTTCTTTTATTTGTGATTTATTATGTAATGTAATTAAATCTTTGCTATTAATCTCATTATTTTCAATTTCATTTGAATTATTTATATTTAATATATCTTCATTAAGATCAAGTTCTTGTATTGATAATTCAAGTGCTTTGTACATACAATCTTGTTTTTGTGTTAACATATCTCTTTGTATCTGTTGCTGTTTTAATAATCGTTCTTGTTGTTCTAACTGCCACTGTCTTAATTTTTGTAAACGTTCAACTACAGATGCTTCTATGTCCATTTTTTGAATAACATGGAATGTATAATAAATTTAATATGTAAAAATCAATTTATATAATTTGACAATTATAGATTCAATGATTTACATATTTAGAATTACATATAAACTCACATAAATAAAAAAATATATTATGAATTAAATTATTATATTCATTATTTTATAACATATTTAAAAATATGATATTTTTATTTTAATTATTTTTATTTATAATAAATATCTTAAAATATAATATTTACTTCAAAAATATTTTACTTTTTATTCAAAATTATAATTATGAAATGTCGAGAATTAGCAAAAAATATTATATACATGTGCGTATGTATTCTGTCATGAAAAAAATATAAATTAATCATTCAAAACTAAAATATTTATATTTTATTCATTTTCTCACCTTTATCTGTATAAAAAAGATCTATATATAAATGCTATAAAAAATATATTACGAATTAAATTTATTACATTCATTAATACGTTTTACTAAACACTCTTTTAAAATTGGTTGACAATTTAAAAATAATGTGCACATACGTGCATGTAAAAGAAAGTTGGTATGTATTATATATGTACATATATGTATGTATATATATGTATATACGATTTGAATTTATATAATAATAATAATAATAAAACAATATCTATATTAACAATAAGATTGGATATTAAATATAAAAATATATACTTTACGAAAAAATATCAATAATTCTATTTTGTTAAATATTTATTCACAATTAATATATATTTATTTCATTTAAAATAAATGAAATATATAAAAAAAACTTGTGGATATCGATATTTATGTTAGCTTTTGTTAAATGATTAATTTGATTAATTATTTTTATAAAAATTAAATATATTTATGTATTTTTTTTTCAAAATTTATCATTTCATTATTATCGAATTTATATTTGAGTTGACAAAAAAATAATTATGAATAAATTAATATGTGAAAGAATAATTTCTTTCTAAGAATAATTAATAAAATAAACAATATTTTAAAATTTGATTAAACTTTAATTCTTTTTGCTTTTGATCACGTGGTTTTATTTACATTGAATGAGTAGTTGTGAATGTTTTAAATAATTTGAATTGATGCACGTTAATGAGTCTATTCTTGAAGTGGATTGGATAAAAATTCAATATGGCATCACAATAATTATAGCAACATAATTAACAAAAATTTTTAAAAATTTATAAATTTGTATATAAATAATTTTTGAATTGTTATTGGATACTGCTTAAAATTTATATATAAATAATTTATATATAAATAAAAACATTTATAAATATTTATAAATATTTATAAATTTAAAATCCAGAATTTTATGTCCAAAAATAAAAAATAATATTTATTTTTAATTTTTCAATATTTTTATTATTATCAAATTTTATATTATAAATATCATGCAACATATTATGAATATATTACATAAATTTATTTTATTTATAAAATCATTATAATTTAATTTCATTTTCATTGTAAAATTATATCTTTTAAATTATGATATATTTTTAAATTGTTATTTTTTTCATTGTACTAAAATAAATAATTAATGTAAAATGTTACAATGTATTTATTTTTATTAAATATATTTATTACTAAATTTTTATTATAAATTATAAATATAAAAATATTAAAATAATTTAGAAAAATTCAAAATATTATTATTTATATAAAATTATGAATTTAAAAAAATTTACAATTTAAATTTATTATATATAATTATATATTTGGGTGATATCAAATAAATATAAAATTAAAACATAAAAAATTAAAAAAAAATAAAATTAATTATAATAAAAGAAAATAAATAAAATTTAAACATTAATCTTTTTATATTATTATGTTACAAAAATTTATTCATTAAAAATATGCTATATAATTTTAAATGTTAAAAATGAAAAAAAGTTTTTTTTAAAATAAAATATTTTGAAAATGATTTTAATTTAATATAATAAAATAAATTTTAATATAATTATTGCAAGATACTCAATTGTAATTTCATATCAACAAGTAATAAAACATCCTACAGTTTATTATTAGAATGATAATACAAATGTATAGCATATTATGTAAGAAATATTGCAAGAATTGTTGTTATTTATATATTAATACAATATTAAAATAGTATTAATATTTATGTGAAAGCCAATTCTAAAAAACTTCAAACATAAAAGTTGGTATATAAAAGTATTGGTTGAAGTTTATTTATTAAGTTAGCAATTTAAGTTCGCGTTAAATTCGCGTAAATCAAAACAAAAACGGAATGCGACGATAGAATCAAAATAATTTTATTTTTTTCCCATTTCATTTTTCAATACAAAACTTTAATTTAATTACTTATTACTTAATAAATAAACCTAATTGATATTTTCTTTTATATTTATTTTGATTTTCAGAATCCATTCTTCAAAAATATTGTACGAATATATTAACATCCTATATATTAAATTTTAGACAAGAAAATTTATCAGTATTCATAATTTTTATTTTATTTTGTAATAATATTAGTTCAATTGTAGTTCAATAAAAATTTAAGTATTACTTGTATTATGAATATATAAAGTATGTTTCATAAAGTAAATATGCTTATTAAAATGATATATTTTTATAAAAAATAAATTATTTACTAGGAATTACATACAAATTATATATAACGTCATTATATTGAAGAAATTCTACATAGCATTCATTATTCATTCAAAATATAAGTAATAATTTATTATTAATTTATGATCAGATATTTATAGTGATACTAATTTATTTATTTTTTTATCTGGACTATTTACCATAATTTCTTGTGAAATTACTTAAATAGATAAAATTTTGCACATCAATGTAATTTATGCAAAATAATATATCATCTTACTTTATTTAAGAAATTAGATATTACTTTTATTCTTACATGATGAGATGTTACAAACTCTAATCAATTCACTCTTCATACCTAAAATGACATTATTTATAGTGATATTAAAAATGTATAGTCTACACAACAGTGATTAACTTTGTTTATTCTAATTAATTTAAATTCAATCAAATATCTACTCTTATTAAATAAGTTATATAATCTATAATGAGATTTATTTGAATCTGTATTCAAATTGAAGATGTTCACTTCAAAAAAAGCAATAATATAATTTCGATAATATCATAATTAAAAAATAAAATTATATTGAAAATGTTTTTATAATTCTTTTTTCTTAATTTTAATATACTCAATTCATTTCCTACAATACTTCTTACATAAAATTGTATATGAATATATAATATATATATTGTAATACTTTATAAAAAATATACTTGTATATTTACTGATATATTTTATTGCAAAATTAACATAATTATTTTTTATTAATACAATACTTAATACAATAATTGAACAATAAACATTTTATCAATTGATTTTATAGATGATAGTAAATATACAAATATTTTAAAATTTGTGAATAACAACTCACTTTAAATTTACAAATTCATGCAATAAGCTCACGGGATTAAGCATGATATAAAATTCTCTTCATTGAACATAAAATTTGAAAAAATCTATGTATGTATCTATAATTGTAAACATCTGTTCAGTTTGTTAGTAAATATAAAGTATTTTATCAATTAATTAAACATGAAAAGCATTAAATATACATAAGTATCAATTATTTTGAAAGATAATTCTGCTACGTATTTTAAAAATAACATTCTTATTTACGTACTTAATTATGAAAAATGGAAATTAATCTGTAACTATACGACGATATTTTCTATTAGGAGGGAATACTTCTTCATCCTCGTCTTTATCAGCTGAAAGAAAAGGATCATCATAGGCATAATTTGGTGCCCATTTTAATAATAATTTTTCGAAAAATTCTTCTAAATTTCGTGCTTCTTGATAGACTTGTGATTCAACCTAAATAAAATAAAATTATTATGTAAAATATAGACATATATATTTTTATAAAAATTTTTTATTTCATTCTATATGCTTTTATATTATATGATTTTATCTATTGATTCCATATACTTACAAATTTTTTAATAAAACTTACAGGATTGTATGTAAAAGCATTTTTAAACATCAATCTGATGTCTGCCATTACTTGTCTTAAATCTGTATAATGATTTGGATGTTCAGATTTTAATTTATCTCTAATTATATCTAATGCAATTGGTTTTTTTATGATGCGATGATAGTCGACAATCTGTTGATAATAATAAATAAAATAATAATTTTTATGTTTTTAATGTTTATATATATAAATTTTACATAAATTAAAATAATTATACAATAAATTTACCTCACTGGATACAACTTCACGGAAAGGTAAACTTTGTTCATATTGACAATAAAGTTCTAATACAATTCTTTGTGCAATTCGCAATTCTTTTGCACTCATAGTATTTGGTCTTTTTTCTCCTGGTGGATCATCTGAACAATCTAATACATTTGTACATAACATACATTGCCAAGTTTCACTTTCACTGAAAAAAAAAAAATTAATAATAAGCATATGTATTGTTATTATATTACTATTATTATACTATATTATTGAAATATTTACTCAGGAAATGATTTTAAGCTAGGAATATGACAATATAAATGGAAGACTTTTGGGCATTTATCACAACAAAGTACTGCATCTCCTCCATCCATACATACTGCACACCAATCTTCATTAGGATCATCTTTTGCCATAGATGCTGCAGCATTTTTTGAAGTATCTATTAAACATATAATTGTATATATATATATTGAATGAATATTTATTAAAAGTAATAATAGAAAATATAATTTATTTTGTAATAAAAATATAGAATATTTTATATATGTAATTTATATATTTTAAAAAACATTTTGAATAATAATACAATTATTTCTATTATTTTTTTTAAAATATATACTATATAAAAAATTAAATAAGATATACTATATAAAAAACTTAATAAAAAATTTAATTACCTGATGAATTTTCAGTCATTGGATTTATTCCTTCATCAGTGGAACTATCTACTTGGGCAGAATCTAATTGATTACGTTGAGCTTCTGGTATAACTACAATTCCATTACTATCTAATTTAGCGATGGTAAGCATCAGGTCATTTAAAGATTTCTGACAAAATTTGTCTAAACTCTTTTCAGTTTCATCTGATTTCCCGGGAAGCACGGGACTAGGCGTTTTAGATACTGACGAACTGACTGTATGACCAATAGATATTGAATTTTGTGATTGAGGTGGATTATCAGAAGCAGTAGTTGTCTGTGTGCTATATTTTTGACTTGTATTTGATTGTTGATTTTTTAATGTTATCTTGTAAGTATCATTAGGAACTGACATGGAAGGTGTACTTGATTGATGACGGGAAGCATAAAAAGGAAGACAAGGATTAACATTTTGAGGTATATGCCAACGGGCTGTAGTTGGTTGTTGCACAGGATAATTTATATGTTGCGTGGATGGAGAAGTAGGATTGCATTGTTGAAGTCTTATACCAGATACCATTGATGTATTTGTTGGTTGATATGCAGGTGGTGGTACTGGCCGTTGAGAATTATTTGTAGGATATCTATAAGGTGGCAATCGATATGATACATGATTTGTAGAAGGTCGAAAAGGTGGTGGATTATGTGCAAGAAGTCCACGTAAACTTGTATTTTGTCCAAGTTGATCTATGTGTACTTGTTGATGAGGATGCGTGGATGATGTTACTTGTTGATGACAGCTTCCCAAAGGACGTTGTTGTATCATTATTGGTTGTTGTAATCTGTTATTAAAATTAACTGCATACGGTACCCGTGGTTGATGAGCTTGTGGTGATGACCGAGGTGGCATATTATTTATAGGATAATGTTGTACATAATTTTGCGATTGTGTTTGTTGTTGCTGTTGAGATGCTATATGAAGAGGCACTTGTTGGTAAGAATTTTGTTGCATACTATTATTAGATTGTTGTGTTGTAGTAGGTAATTGTGCAGTTATGGAAGAACCATCCATATGTGTATTTGACAAATTTGTTGTTTGTTTTTGATCTGTTTGTGATTCATTATATGACATAACAGGTGTATTTATTCCACCCAATGGAGATGTTGAAGGATATACTCTACCATCCACCACTATTGCTCCAATAGATGAAACCACTAAAATTAAAAAAAAAATTTAATTTTGTATAATTCATTAAATATTTATTATGTTATTGTAATAAAAATATAGAGTATGTTTCACTTATAGCAATATCATATACTACCTATATAATAATATATAATTAAGCACCTATTATTATTAATTTAACCTTTTATCAAATCTGGTACTTTCTCCAAGGACAAATGTATTCTAACTGGTATTTCTGGATTTGGAATATCAGCTCGTCTACTTTTTATTCTTTGTAAATGACTTGTAACAGATCTACAAAAAGTTATAAAATATTTATATTTACATTTTTTTAACATTTGCACATAATACTTGAAATACATACTTTTTACTATATAATAATTCCATATCTGAACCTTTTTTTAAAGCATGAGTTACAAATTGAATACAATGATCTGTAAGTTTTGATAATTGATCTAAAGCAACTTTTTTTTCATTTAATGTATTTTGCTTTTGATCACAAACTTCATTTAAACGCATAACTAATTGTTTTCCTCGTGTATTAATTGTATTTGTTAATCTAAAATGTGAAAAAAAATGAAATAATTTTAATTTATTTAAACATATAAATATAAAATTTACTATAACTTACTGCACCACCATTTGTGTTATATCTTGTACTAAATTTTTCTTTTTCTCTAATATAAGAACCTGTCTATCTTCTATAACTTTCATTGCACTTTTTAATAAAACTCGTTTATAACTATGAAAAATATAATTAATAAAATAATTGATATAAATAACTTTTTAAAAAAATAATTATAATATTTATTTATAAATACATTGTTAAAAAAAAATATAAAAATAAGAAAATTACCTCACTTCTTTAAGTAAAGTTGATACAGAAGCACGGGTTTCAGCAGCAATTTCATGAATAAATTTGTACTTATGATCTCTGTGTTCACTTAGTTGACAATCTCTACAAGTAAGTTTATCACATGTTTGACAAAATAAAGATAATTGTTCATGTGAATGAATTGTACAAAATAAGTAGCCAGGTATTTTTTTGTTGCTTTTTTTAACATTATCTCTATCATTGGCAACTTCATCCTTTGGTTTAATTGTGTGATCTTTTGTTATTTTTAATCTTTGATGTGCCTTTAAATAAACAAACAATTTAAAATAAATAACTATTTAAATATAAATTATAAAATAATTATTTAATATATTTATACTATTTAACTATTTTAATATTTACTATTTAACTATTTAACTATTATTAAGATATATTTTTATTACCATAACACAATTTTGACATATAAATTCTTCACATTCTACACACCAACTTGTGGCATTAGCATTATCGTGACAGCTAGTACATTTTTTCTCTTCTTCTGTTTCTTTAGATTCATCATCAGTACCTGGACTATTATCTTCTTCAATAAATTTTGATAAAAATCGATTTTCAATTAAATTTTCTGCTTGTGTTGTTACATTACATATTTGGCAAGTAATCACATTGCTCTCCACTGCAAATATATATATATATATATATATATGTATTTCTAAGTTGTAGTCTATATTATTATAAATTATAAATTATTAAAAAATATCTTTATATTTATATATATAATTATAAAATTACATATGCCATGTTATATTAACATAAATGATATTTTATATATCAATATTTTTTTTAGAATCTATTTTTTAAAATTATAATTTTTAGAAAAATTAAAAATCTATATTTTTTATAAAAAATTTTTATAATTATTTATAAATTGAAATTTATAAATAATTTAAATTTAATAAATTTAATAAATTTTAATATTAATTAAAATTTATAATTTTATGATAAAATATTTTTTTAATAATTTTATTAATAATAAACATGGAAATATATATTGCTATTTATACTGTTTACAATACAAAGGAAAGATTTCTTTATTTTTATATTATTATTATTATATTTTATATATTATATATTTAAAAAGAAAAATAAATTTCTCTGTGTTATGTTATTTAAAACTTAATATAAATATAATGTGGTCTTACACAAAACATCCACGTCGACTGATGTATTGTGATCACTAAGTTTGCTATTGACACATGTCGAACATGCTGCATGTAAACATTCTAAAAGTTTTGGATCATCACCAAAAGTAAATGTCTTTCCACAGAATACACATTTCGATAAAAATGCGCGTGTTTCAGTCTCTTGACCCTCAGTTGTACATTCAATACGTTGTTCACATTCTTCTTCAATGCAAACGCCCTGTACTTGAGATTGTTGCATGTTTTGCTTCACGCCAGTTTGATCAAGTGGTTCTTCTTTAATCGTTACAGGACCTGTTGTTAATAACTCATTTGTTCGAGTTTCCATGTTAAAATTGTCAAAATATAAACGGCTACACACAAGAATCGTTTTTATATTTTATGAAAATATATCTTTCTTAAATCATGTAGCGCCATGGTCCACCATGCTACATACTCCACTCTAAACTCTGAATGCAATTACTATAGTTAGATAAGAAATTCGATGGCAAACTTTCATATATAGTAGCGTCATCTTAAATTGAAATTTCTAGTGATTTGAAATTTTAATAATTTTTATAGTAATTTTTATAGTAATTAAATTAAATATTTTTTAATATTATTGAAATAAATTGATACAAATTTTATAATTTTTCTAAATTATATTATAAATTTTTTTTAAATAATTATTTATATTATAAAAAATAAGATATACACTAAACAATATTTTAGATAATAGAATAATGCATGTTAGTGCACAACATACTACAATTTATAGGGAATATTAATTATTATAAGTTTCGTATAATGATAGATTAGTAATTATATTTATTTACAAGACGAAAGTTTATAAATAATTTTATATTAATAGAAAGAATTAGAAATCGTAATAAATTTTATATTTTTAAAACATGCATTTAGGTAAAGAATATTTATATATTTTTTTTAATAGAAATGATAATTCCTTTATTTTGTTATATTATATGTAAAATAAATATTTACTTCATATTGTTGTTTTCTAATCATTTTTAAGTATTAATTTATTAATAGTATATTAATATATTAGTATATTTTTTAATATATCATATTTTTAATATAGTATAATTAATATATCAATTGCAATTTATTTATATTTTTATTAAACATTTTTATTGTTTCATTTTTAATTAAATATATATGATATTTAGGAAATTATGCACTTGATAGTGAAGAGAATGATAGTTTTGATAAAAGTGATAATACCATACAAATTTTGTCAGATGATAATAGTTTAAGTAATAATGATGATATAAAAAATAAAAATAATGGAAAACATTTTGATTCAAATAATGATTGTATATCTAGTTGTGCAAGTAAGTTTTATATAATTTTATATTTAAATAATTTGCCATAATAATATGACTTATATTACTTCTAATTTTTTTATTTATTGTTAAAGGTAATGGGACAGAATCAATTTTATTAAAAGAAGATGAGAAAGAAGACGAAGTTATAAAAGCAATAATTAAATCAAAAGATATAAGTAATAATCATCCTCCATCTATTACAACAGAAGATTATGTTGTTGATATATGTTTCCATCCTAATTTAAATATGATTGCAATAGCTGATATTGGAGGAGATGTACATTTGTAAATTTTATATTTATTAATAATTAATATGTCATAAATGATGTTAAATAACTTTATAAATATATGAATTTTTTTATATGATAGATATAAATATAACAATACAAAAGTGGAATTAATATCAACTTTGGAATTACATCTTAAAGCATGTCGTGATATAGAATTTAATGAAAATGGTACGATTTTATTTTCTACTGCTAAGGATTTATGTATGATGCTCACTGACTTAGAAACTGAGAAATTAATAAGACTTTATGAAAATATACACGAGTATGTATATTTTTATTAATTAATTTTATTAATTATCATGGATAAAACAAAATATATGATATGATTAATATTAATATTTAATTTATTTTAGGCAACCAATATACACAATGACTATAATTGGAGAACATATGTTTGCAACTGGAGATGATAATGGAGTAGTTAAAGGTATATTATATTTGTAATATTTCTTCTTTACTTTTTTTATTTTATTATATTCATTATACTTATATATACTTTAAATAAGTGTGGGATTTTCGACAAAGAGGAAATATGCCAATATTTTCATTAAAAAAAATGGAAGATTATGTAAGTGCTATAACAACAAACAGAGAAGCAAAATACTTAGTTTGTACATGTGGTGATGGATCTCTTACTACATTTAATATACCAGGAAAAAAATTACATGTTCAAGTAAGTGCAAATATTATATTATTTTATATATAATTATTTATATAATTGTTTATTATTAGTCAGAAGAGTATCAAGAAGAATTAACATGTCTTGGTTTATTCAAATCTGAAACAAAAATCTTAGTAGGTACAAATAAAGGAAAAATGTATGTATATAATTGGGGAGAATTTGGTCTTCATTCAGATGAATTTCCAAATTTAACTAAAAAAGCTATAAATTGTATGATTCCAATTACTGAAAATATTGTAATAACAGGTGGAGAAGATGGAATGCTTAGGTGAGGCACTCTAAGTATGATTTATTTGTTTTAATGCATATATTTTATACATTTAATATATATAATATATAATAAATAAAATAATATATATATTTTATCAAATAGGGCTAGCAGTTTATTTCCTCATTATCATCTTGGAATAGTAGGACAACATAATCTTTCTATTGAAACACTTGATATTAACAGTAATGGTAATCTAATTGCATCTTCTTCACATGATAATGATATCAAATTCTGGAATGTACAGTATTTTGAAACTTTGGATGTTAATAAACAATGTATAAAAGGTGGAAGACAAAGGCAATTAAAATGTAATCTTCCTAGTAGTAAAGTTGATAATGCATCTACTTTTTTTTCGGATCTTTAATAAAAAAAAAGAATAAAAATAATAATAAATTTTTATAAATATATTATATATTTAAATTTAAAAAAATTTTTTTTTAAACATATTTATTGCATTGCATAAATAATATTTAATATATTATAGATAATATATTTTCATGTATAAATAAGTTCATAATTAATATATTATTTAATAAATAATGTACATAAAAACATTAATTATATATTTATAATAAAAATATATACATAACATATATTTAATATATTTTTAAATTACATTATTATTGTTTATTTTATAATATTTTATAAAAATTTTATTAAAATTTAAAAATTTGATGAAATTAAACATTTAATGCAAATTAAAATAAGATCTTTAATAAATTAGAAAATATAATTTTTTGTGAACTTCCGATAATTTGAAAAAAAGAAATGTTTGAAATAGAAATTATTTTAGCAAAATAGTATTTAAAATATATAAAATAAATAATTTTTTCAAAATAATATTTTTTGATATTAAAGAAATAAAATCATCTTTACTTTTTTAAATAATGTTATATATGTATATACATATTATAATGTATATATATGTATATATATATATATATATACATTATAATATATATGTATATACATTTAAATAATGTTATATATGTATATACAATAATGTTATATATGTTATACATATATTTTTAATTTTATAATATATTTGATTGAAATGATTTCAGACAAACAAAAAAAAAATTATATTCATTATTTTACAAAACATTCTGTATATTTTTATTGCTTTAATAATTTTGTTAAAATACATAAACATACATAAATATCAATAATTTATATTTATTGTTGTTCATTGAAACATAAAAAATTTATTATAAATTAATTATATAATAATAATTAATATAAATAATAAATATTATATTATCATTTATTACAATTATAATTAGTACAATAATAATATATAAAAATTATTTTATAATCTAATTTATTAATCTTTTTATCTAATTAAAAATGTTATTTATAAATTAATTGAAAGATTTTTTTAATGTTATTTTTTTTATATAGAATTATAAAATCTAAACTCTATTACTTATTTCGTACTTTGATGTGATTAAATATAATAATTAACTATACAATTATCATGATAATATACAAATTAACATAAAAATAAAATTGAAAAAAAAAAAATATTTCAAAATATTTTAAAAGTTTTTGAATAATATGTAATATATTATTCAAAATGTAATATATTATTACATTGTATTTTTTTTTTTATAACCAAAGAAATTCTGTTTTATAATAATATAATCATCATTGTCATAAATCATGTTTGTTTATACACATACAAAATTTGTTTACAAAAAATTTTAAAAATAACAGACAATTGTAATTTATATATGACTTATGATTTACAAAAATTTAATCTTTAAAAAAAATTTAATGTAAATATATAAAAAGAAATATTTAAAAATTCATAATATTTCCTGTCATATTAAATAATATTGATAGTACATAATTTTTATATTTTTAATAATCTGAAAGTAGACAAATTAAATATTTAAAAAAATTCTATTTTACATAAAAAATAATATAAAATATTAATATTATTATCAATTATCTTTAACATATTAACATGTTAATAATATATTAACAAATATTATTATACTATATTTAGAAAGAAATATTTAATATATCATAAATTACATGCATAAATTTGAATTATTTCTGCAAAAAATAAAAAAGATTAAAATAATATCTTTTCAAGATTATTTAATTGATTGAAGATGATTTATCTTAATATTAAATATGCCAATAAGAATATAATATTAATTAAATAAGTACCTGAAACATATTAAAAAAAAAATTTAAATGTTTCAAAATCTTATTATAAATTATTTAAAAAATAAAATTTAATCTTCTAATCTTATAAATAATTACTTATATAATTATTCTTACTACTTTACTGATGATTCATTTGGCGTAAATATTCTGGTGTATGATAATGTTGTTGTTGTGCATGAGCAAGTGAAGGATGAATTGGAGGTGGAAAACATCGAACATGTTCAACACTTGTTGCATCGCTATCTCCACTCTTCAAATATTTATTTAATACAGCGAAAATTTGTGAATTTAATACTTGGAATCTTCTAATTCTATCTACCATTCTCTTTAAATGCTATTTAATATAAATAAAAATAATTAAATTTGTATATAATAAAAAAATTATATTTAATGAAATGTACATAGATACTTACAATTCCTTTAACATTTTCATCTTTGCCATCAACACGTTGTACTCTTAAAATGTGATAACAGAAATCAAGTGCTTCAAATCTTCTTTGTTGACCGAGTAATACAATCATAGCACATCCTGCCCAATGTAAACCTTCACCAAATAATTCTCTGAATACAAGAATAATATTAATTGGAATTCTCTAATATTCTATTATCTATTTATTTATTAATAGTAAAATAGTAAAATTACTTACTCAACAGTAAATTCTGTTTCTCCAACCGGAATACAATATACAAATTGTAATGCACTCCATAATCTATGAAATTCTGTGCATTCATCGACATTCATTACTCCATTTACAGGAGGAGGGCCAACCCAAATAGGATCATCTAAAAAACTACGTAATCTACTGAGTACTACTTCAAATATTGATAAACCACAACAAAGTCGTTCTCGTGTTAATAAATCTCCTTCTCTGGCAATCATTGCTTGCTAAAATAGTTAAAATAATTTTAAAAGCATTTCATGTATATATATATCATTTTTATGTTATTATTATATATATATATATAATGATATATTATATATATCATTCTATGTTAAATAATTTTGTTTTAATACTTACTTTAGCAGTACCTAAATTATCTACATTGGGAACAATTTGTAAAGCTGCATATTTAGCTTCAAGTCGTTTTTGTTTAGTCTCCGGTTTTTCACCCTCTAAAATTAAAATTTTTATAATATTTTTAAAAATAGAATTATTTTTCATAATTTGAAAATATTACCTTTACAATATGGTCTAGGTAATATATTTTGAAAAGGTGCTGCATGTAACAAATCACAAACTTCTTCTTGTGATAAAGCTTGTTCCATTAAAAGACAAAATAAAATAGTATTACCAAATTCGCGAAAATTATGAAAAAGCTCAGTTTTAGCATCTGGATATTGCACAATATCATTTAATTGAGCATGATAATATCCTAAAACTCCTGGTGATCCATAATCATATCTTGGAAGTTTACAGACTTTTGGCATAGCTTCCATTAATGTTTTAGTAAATTGATGTAAACTTCCTTGAATTAGAGATTTTACAATTTTTAGAAGCTCTTCCATTACTACTGCAATACCTTGATATCCAAGAAGTTTACACATTGTACGGAAATGTTGTGGTCCAACAAATCCCGAATATTGTCCATATTGTGTACTATATGCTAAATTTAATTGTTTACTTCCCCAAAGATAATGATGAGACATTTGTGGAGGTTTATCTCTATGTACTGCTTGTACAAATTGAAGTCCACGACATTTTACAAATCTATTATACATAGATTTTATTTTTAGTATAAATTATATAATAATTATGAATGTCATATATATTTAGTCATTATATAGTCATAATTAAAAATTATTTTATATTATATATATTATATAATAACTGCAACAATAACATACCTATTTGTTGCTGCATTATAGCAATAATTTGGTAAAAAATCATAATTCAATTCCCAAAATACATGAAGAGTTATTCTTCCATATGGAGCTAAAACATTATGATTCGCTTCACGAAACATGGCATCATATTCATCTAACGCAAGCCATTTACTTAAAAGTTTATGGGTAAGACGATTCACTTGTAGAAGTCCTTCCAACTCCTTCAGTACATAAAATCAATCAATTTATTAAAATACTTATTCAATAAATTATATATCTATTAAATCTAGTGATATTCAACTTACAACAACTCCTGTGATATCGCCAGATTCAAATTTACTAATTGCTAAATCTAATGATTTTTGCATATCTGCATTAATGCGTTGTGTAATTAATTTGTTCAAATCAATACTTCTTCCAAGTAACTGAACATGTCTTTGTTTTAATAAAGTTTCATATCTGTTAGCGCGAGGATACGGAAGTAAATATGCTCCTAATGCAACACATTCTACTCGAAATCTCTTATCTAATAATATACTTGCAGCCAATTGTTTATAATGAGCAAAAATTTGTTCACTAAGTTTATAAACAAATTGATCAAAACATAAATTTACTTCAGCTTCTACTTCATCATAAAGAAATTGTTTACGAAATATTGTTAAAGCATATAATGCACTATCATTATATAAATCAAGTGGATATAAAACATATCTAAAAATTAAAATATTATGTTATAAAATATTTTTCAAATATCATAAAGATATCTTTTTTTTACTTACTCCATCATAGATGGTTCCTTGCTTCGTAATATATGATCAGTTAAGATCCATGGCATTGACATCTCAATAGGAAACTAAAATATATATAATATAATTTTACATATTATTATATATATTATAATTATTGATACATTATTAATTAATCATAGATTTTGATATTAATTACATAACTATAATAATTATAGATTTTTATAATATTAAAATTTTGTACAATTACATTAATAAAATTATCTTTATACGTTGATTTCATCAGTTAATGCATATTATTTATCAAATGATTATATTTTATATATATATATATTTTTTAATGATAATAAAAAATGATTAAAAAATTTTATTAATTTTATTATTTCATATATATAAAAATTATGAATTTATTTATAAAATAATTATTAAAAACAAAAAATTTTTATTTATAAAAAAATTATTAAAAACAAAATTTTTGTAATAAAAAAAATTAATTTTATATATATTAGAATATTATATATTATAAACTTAGAATTATAAAAATATTTTATAGAAGAGAGAAATATAAAAATAAATATTATATAATTATATTATTATTATAATATTATAATAAAATATATTATAATATTATTATAATTATATAATTATATTATATAATATTATATAAATTTATAGAATATAAGAATGTGAAACATTAATTATATCTAAATATAAAAAGTAATGCAATAATAATGAAATCAATATCAATTATTTCAATATTTTATATATATTATACTTTTATAGATATATTATAAACGTAAATAACTGTTACAATCATTCATATTTAACTAGTAAGTACCTGAATACGCTTCTCCATGGTGATCAAGTCGCTGCATTCTTCATTATGCTGGTGACGAACTTGGCATTTCTAGTTATGAAATCAAGCATACAAAACGCTATTTGATAGTATTTTGGCATATATTAATAGAAAACATTTACCACTGTTTATTAAAAAATACAAAAATGATACCTATTATTTTTTTTTAAATGTATTTAAATATTTGAAGCTTAGTTTAACAATATTAATGAAAAAATATTTAATTACCTGTATTTTTCGACCCATAGTCATTTCTAAATAAAATTCTCTATACCATAATTGAGATAAATCACAACAATCTTGTAATGATTCTAAAATAAAATAATATAATTAATTAATTATTTTAATATAATATAATATAATATAATATAATATAATATATGCATAATAAAAATTATATTTAATAAGTAATAGTAAATATATTATAAATATATACTAACCACTAAAATTTAAGAGATAACTCCAGTAGAAACTAGTTTTATGAAATTGATCAATTTGTACAAGATACTGACCATCAATATCTTTTCTCAAAGTACGTTTTCCACCACTTTTATCTGCAATTAATGATTCCAACATTGTACGAACCATATAAAGTTGTGTTGAAGAAGGTCCTAAAAATATATATTTTTATAAAAATATGAGTAAAAATATGAGTAAATATTTATTCTGATTGAAAAATTTAATTATATTTTCTTTTTAATCTTACCAACATTTCGTCGAGGTACTTTAATACCAAATCCATTATCAGGATCCTTCTTTCCTTTTAATGCAGGATCTCCTAATGGTTCAACTCCAAAATGCCAATCTGCACAAGTTTCTCTCACAGATACGATTATACTAAAAAAAATTATAAAAATAGATTTAAAATATTAGATAATAATATGAAATTATATTTAATTATATTCTATAAAAAAAAAATACATTGTCATAAAAAATAATATACAAACCTCCTAATAAGATCCTTTTTATTTTTAATTGCTTTACGTAATGGTTCTCGTAATGTAAGTTGCACAAAATCTTGTAATTCTGCATATATATTTCTACGTATTGCATCTATAAAAACTGTTTCCATGCGTGCCATTAATACTTGTAATCCTTTGATCATTGCAATAACTTCTATTAAAGCAAATTTCTCTTCATCTGTATAATTATAACGTGTAGCCTAATGAAAAAAGATATTAATATATATCATTATTAATAAATATAATATAATACATATATATTAATACATATATATGTAATAATATAATGTAATACATAAAATATATATATAACTATATAAATATATATTAAACAATATCCCTCACTCTTTCATATTCTTCAGCTTCTTGAGGACATTCTTTATTCATGTGATGATCAGTAGGATGTAAAAGTTTCCAACTATAAAGTTCTGTTACAACACTCGTCCATTGGGAAAGTAATTGTAATCCACGTAATGCTAATTCTGCAGTTTCTCGATTTTCTGTATCACTACCACATTCCTTATATGTTGTAGTTACTTCATTACTGTATCTGTAATAAAGAAATATTTCTTTAGTATTTCTTTTAATTAAAACTATATATTTATTCTTACCTTGCTAATTCACTAATATACTTAACATGATCTTCTCTAATTTGTGGCAAATGTACCATAAGATCTGCTTGTGGACTTATACTGTTTGATGAAGAAGATAATGGCCATTTAGATGCATCAAAGTGTTTAGAACGTTTAATGTAATTAAAAGGTGCAATTTGCATGTCACCAAATAATGGTACTACTTCTAAATTTTTAAAGATTCTATCAATTCTATCTAATTTCAATTTTTTTTTCTGATCTAATTTATTGATATTGCAAAGCTCACTATCCATTAAAAATAAACCAAATCCCATTACTTTTACTAACATATGTTTTTCATTTGGGGTCAAATACATTTTAGTCTCAAACATATGAACACATATGTTAACAACATCTGCAAGTAATTCTTCGTATCCTGCAATTTTTTCTAAATTTTCTTTTACTGTATCACGAATTTTATTTTGTGTAGCTAAAAACATTGATAAATTTTGAGATTCTTGTAATGTTTGAGAATCAGACATCACTTTAAGAAATTGAGCGGCTCTAAAATAAAAATATAATTATTTTTAAAACTAATTTTTTTAATATCATACTTATAATTACCTTCTATATGTAGAATAATCATTTTTTACACTAGATTTCATATTTTTAAGTTCATCCAAAACTGCAAACATGTTAATAAATTTTCCTAAAGTAAGTAAATATGCTTCAGATACAAAGTCTTTTCTTTTTTCATGATGACACAAACGTTTTACTTCTCCAGAAAATCTTTCAATAGCTTTTCTCTAAAAAATGAGATTCATTTGTAATAACTAAAATAATTAAATTTGAACTAATATATATAAATTAGATATTTAAATATATACATACTTGAAAATACATAAAGTTTAATAATTTATTTACTTCTGGAGCTAATACTTCTACTGTCTTCTCATAAATTTCTACTCTGTTAGGTTGCTCATTAGATTTTGGTTGAGGTATTGCACGCGAACAACATCTCCATGTATATAGCATTACAGCATGCTTCAAACCTTCTTCTAATAATTCATTCTTTAAATTAAGAATAAATTATATAAATTATAAATATATTATAAATACACAAAATTATTATTTAATATTATATTATATTAAATATTATTACTAATTATAATATATATAATGTATAAATATTATTTTATTTTTCATTTAAGTTCAATTTACTAAAAATAAAAATTTTATATTTTAATTTACTATTATATTTCCAATAATTACCAGACTTGCATGAACAGTAGCTTCTTCAATATATTTAGCAATTCCAGTAACAAAACCATTTCTATCTTCAAAATTAGTATCAAAATTGGCTTGATATACTACAGAACATGGTTGTGCTTCAATACAAGGTTGTTCATCAGGTAATGTAAATTCATCAAGTACATCAACATTGGATAAAGCATCACCCAAAGTTACTTTATCAGTAGCCATTACAATTTAAAATAAACCTAAATTAAAACAATATTTATAATTAATGAAAAATTAAATTATTAAAAAATAACATTATAATTAATTTTTATGAAATAAATTAAAAATTAATGTGTAAAAATTAATAAAATATCAAAATTGAAAATTGAAAATTTTATATAAAAATAAAAAAATTTTACATAAAAATTTGTCAAAAATAAATATCATCATATAATCGTCATTTTTATAGTTCTTGCTTCTTATTTTTATAGTTCTTCTTTATAGATTCTTAAAATATACCTTTATATGTTCTTAAAAATAAATAATTAAATTAAAACTTCAAACTTTTTATAATAAAGTGAAATAATTTTTGAATATTTTACAATTTAATTAATATAATAGCTTCATATTTTAATAAAATAACTTTTAACTATACCTTAAACACAATTATACTTTTAATACTCCGCCCTCTTACTAGAAAACAAGATTACTCTGTCAACAATACTTACCAAAGTAACTCGTATCTATGCTAAAAACACTAACTTTTTATATGTATACATATAATTTTTGAAAACAATGAAATTAAATTTAAAATTATTTTTAAATTCTATTTATTGAATATTATTAAATATTATTAAAAAACACAAAAATATCAAAAAGTTATTATATTTTAAAATGAAATTTAACATTTCATATTATTTAATTATTTATTTTCAAAAAAAAGTAAAATATTGAAAATGTATGTTTAGAATATTTTAATTTAATTTCAATATTTTAATAAGTAAAAATTAAATTTTTTTATTATCATTTTGGTTTATAATTATTTTTGTTCATTATAATTAATTAAAGAATACATACTTATATAAAAAATACATATTTCAAAAATTATATTTTAAAATTATTTTTTAAAATAATTCATATTATAAAAATTTAATACCATTATAATAATTTTTATTGTATTAATTTCTTCTCTTAAGTAAGAAATTTTTTAAAATATATATATAAGTATTTTATAAAATATTTTATAAAATACATTATTATGTTATTAAATTTCATTAAATATTTTATATAAGTATATATTTTATATAATATTATATTTATTAATGTAATTCATAAAACGTCATCAAAAAGAGAAATATTTTTAAATAAATACAAAATATTTTTTTTATGAAAGTTGAGAATCATTATTCAGAAATAATACGTGTAATGTATAATATTGTTATCTTTAATGCGCAGTTACAAACAAAATGTGTAACCACGTACGCTAACAAAACTAGAATATTATTTAAACTTGTGATAAAGAAAACAATAAAAAAATTTTAATTTTTTAAAAAATTTTTCTGCTATTTTTCTAATTTGGTTAAATAATAATAAAGTAATAATAATCAAATTGCGAATAATTCCATAGTATAAAGTAATATAATAATATAAATATGTAATATCAATAAAATATCAATAACTGTTTAAAAAATTTAATAAAAATATATATATATATATTATTATATTACATATATTTATTATTATTATTATTATTATTATTATTATTATTATTATTATTATTATTATTATTATTATCATTTATTATTATTATTATTATTATTATTATTTATTATTATTATTTATTATTATTATCATAAATGTAATTATTAAATATATTACATATATTATTATTATAAAAAAATACATGTTAATTTGTTTTAGCCAACAGTTCATAAAGATGACAAACGAAATATCAATAAATATTCTAACTTTAAATTGCTGGTAAGTTATATTATAAATATTGTAAAATTAATTATAATCATTTCAATTCAATTAAAATTTAAACATTCCTAATATTTTTATTTATTATTGTATATAAATAATTATATAAATAACATATATAATTGTCATTTATAAATATTTTCACAGATGTAATATATATTTAGAATTAATGTCTACTTATACTGTTATATATTTTAGGGGAATACCATATGTTTCACCAAATAGAAGTGCTCGTATGACAGCAATTGCAGACAAATTTGCTACTGAAAATTATGATATTATTTGTTTACAAGAGATATGGTCAATTAATGATTTTAAAATGATAAAAGCTAAAACACAAGAACAATTACCTTATTCGCATTATTTTTATAGGTAAAAATCTTTCATTTATTATCATTTTTAATTATTTAAATAAAATAAAATATTTAAATTATAAAATATTAAATATAAATTAAGTATAAAATAAGTTATAAAATATATATATTTAATCATTAAATTTAATTTTGTTATTATTATTATTTTAATTGTATTGAATTTTATATATATTAAATAATTATAGTGGAGTTATTGGATCTGGACTTTGTATTTTGTCTAAATTTCCTATTAAAGATGTAATATTTCATAAATGGCCTTTAAATGGATATGTACACAAAATACATCATGGAGATTGGTTTGGTGGAAAAGGCGTCGGACTTTGTAAACTTCAAATTCATAATTGGAATGTTAATGTCTATATTGCACATGTAAGTTTATTATAATTTTTATTTCTATTTATACAAAGTGTTTCAAAAATGTTGAAACATCTATAAATTGCAGATTCCTGAAATAATTTCAAACAACATTTTCCTTTGCAAAAATTTTCATTACAGCTTTCTTAATGAATTATTAATAAAAAATATTAATCAATCAATCATAGAGCGCATAGCCTCTAGTTGAGCCGACAATAGCATTATGTGCCACCAAACACAAATACAAACAAATCCAAATACCATGTCTCAAAAAAATATATTTTATTTTATTATTTTTATTATTGAATATTATATTTATTTATTTATTTTATTTATTCATTCGTGACATAATTTGATATAATTTTTTATCAATAAAAAAATATTTGTTATATTCAATATACTTTTTTCGAATTATTTGGATTTCATGATGACTGATGAATAATACTTAGCCAACACTTGCAGCTCGAGCAAACTACGCGTTTTGTGATTGATCAATGTTTTTGTTGATAACTTGCTAATAAAGCTATAATAAAAATTTTTGCAAAAGAAAATGTTGCTTCAAAAATCTCCAGTTTATGGATGTTCCAACATTTTTGAGACACTCTGAATATTATTATAATATATTATTTTAGTTACATGCAGAATACAATAAACACAATGATGAATATATAGCACATAGAGTTTTACAAGCTTTTGATACTGCCCAATTTATTAGAATGACTTCTGGTGGTGCTGATTCTACAATTTTGGGAGGTGATCTTAATACAGAACCTCAAGATTTAGTCTATAGAATTATTTGTGGTGTTGCTGGTTTAACAGATGCTTGCTCAAATAGTTCAAGTAATTTAGGAACCAATGAGTGTGCCAATAATAGTTATACTAATTCAAAACATGCAAACACTCTTCCTGATGGAAAACGTATAGATCATATTTTATATCAGGGTACAAAAAATGTTAAGGTATATTAATTAGCAATTTTTAATTATTATTTAGAGAATTTAATTATTAATATATAATAAAACTAATATTATGTTACTTATAGATAGAAATAACAAATTTTCAACATCCTTTTCCAAATCGGGTACCTTACAAAAACTTTAGTTATTCTGATCATGAAGCTATTATGGCAACTTTTAAATTTAGTATTGGTAAGTTAATAAATAAAATTATATAGAAATTATAAATAATTTGATATTTTTATACTTATTGTTGTAGGGGAATCTAAAATTATAAATATAGATATCAAAGATTCACTAAAAGAAGCTATTAATATATGTGAAACTTCATTAAAAAATGTTCGTCGTCAGCGATTTTGGTATTTATTATTGGGATGTATATTAATTATACCACTTATTTGGTCTATAGGATTGGATTGTTCTTTTACATCTCTCGATGTAATTATTGGACTTAATATAGGACGTATCTTTCTAACAGCAATATTGTGTTATACTTTGTTTATGAGTTCTATATGGAATAGTGTAGAAAAGAATGCTTTAAAAGCGGCATGTTTAGGAATGGAAATTTGTTTAGGAAATTTAAATAATAATTTATCTAAAAAGTAAAATTGTATACACTTTCCAAAGTATATAATTAAAAATTTAAACTTCCTTTTTAAATTATTCTTCAATTATTCAGTTGAAAAATCAAACAATATCATCTCGAATAAAAATATATTTTCTTACACACTAAATTTTAGCATTTATTATATTCTGTTATATTAATATTTATATATATTAGTATATTATTATACATTATATTTTATATATTATATTAATATTCTTGTGTTATTATAAGACAATAATTAAAAATATCTTTTTTATAAACAATTATATAAATACATTCACCGTTTTCATATAATAACTTTAATAAAATCATATATTCTTAATTAATAATAATAATAATATAAATGATAAATTATAATATTATTTTTAAATTTTACATGGAATAAAAATAAGAGTTTTTTAAATAGAAATATTTTAGAAATGTTTAAAATGAATAAATATATACGTATATAATTTAAGATTTTTTTAAATTAATTAAAAATTTAATTAAGCATTAATTAAGCATTAAGGAATTACTTTATTAATAATATTAATAATATATAAATCAATTTTGATAAAATATTTAAGATAGATATATTTAATTTAACAAAAGTTTTATTAATTTTCATATTTTATTGACAATTATCTTATAAAAAAAATTTATTTATTAAAAATATTTTATAATAAGGCAATTTAAATACATTATATTGTAATACTTAATTACTTCATATTATTTAATTTATAAATTTGCAACATAAATCATTATTTAAAAAATTATGAATATATGTTCACTTTTTGTATCATTATAATATTCAATTAAATTAATTAATATAGTCTTCATATTATTAAAATCTTTATTAAAAATTCTGATGGTATTTGGTATTTATTTATTTTATCACATTCTGATAATTATATGTGTGTACACATACATGTGCACGTAAGAATGTGCACGCGTAAAGATTATCGTTATATATTATAAACAAATATTATTGCCTATGAGATTTCCTAAAAGCTATATATTGAATCAATATCTTTTAGTACAAATATATTTAAATATTAAGTAATATATTAGCACTATATATGTAGATATATATAAATTTTTCTACAAGTGATTATATACACTATAAACGTTTTTGAGCAAAAAGGCTCCTAATAAATAAGATATATATTTTTACGTGTATGTGCGCCCATGCGCACGCGTGTATGTATGTAATTGACTATGTAAATTGTACCCAAAAAAATTTAAATAGAAAACATCATGTTGCATACACATCATTGCAGCAATTCTTATTTTCGCGAACATATGTTCCAATAAACAATAATACTAAATACATTCTACAATTTATGAAATATAAAAACAATATAGGCACTCTTTGGTTTTTCCAAATTCAAGGCAATTGTTCTACATAATTCTTTGGGACTAATCCTGT